TTACGTTAATACAATGTTCCTGATAGCTATACAGTGGTACCTTGGGTTACATACGCTTCAGTTTGCATACGCTTCAGGTTACAGCCTCCGCTAACCCAGAAATAGTGCTTCAGGTTAAGAACTTTGCTTCAGGATGAGAACAGAAATTGTGCTCTGACAGAGCGGCGGCAGCAGGAGGCCCCATTAGCTAAAGTGGCGCTTCAGGTTAAGAACAGCCAGGGACCAAACAAGCGCTTTGCTCACCCACAGAGAGAAGAGTTCTCAGAAACAGCAGACATCTCCCTCGTCTCTCCCTCTAAACTCGCTTTTTATGGGCAGCCCAAGGGGGGTGGCACTTCCTCAGGCTGCCCACAGCTGTGCCCGATTCAGCTGCCCTCTCCACACCCAGCTCCAACACTGGCTGGCAGCCATGACTCTTGGAAAGGGCTGCAAGATCCTGCCCATCTCCTCCTCTTCCTTTTCCATCTTGTCTCGCTCCCCACAGCCACCCTCTTGTGCTCTGCCCATCGTTTGAGGCCAGTGGGTCAAATCTGCTTGGTTCTCTTCTTGCACAGCACCCTAATTCCAAAGATGCTTCTGTGGAGCAGGGAGAACAAGCAGCTCCCCCCCCAGCTTTTGAGGCCCCTGGCGTAGCTGCCCTTCCTTGGGCCCCCTCCAGCTCCTCCCCACCCTTCTGCCAGAGCCTCAATGGCAAGGAGCGACTCCAGCTTTGTGCAAAGGACAAGTCTCATCAGGTCAGAGGCTCCTGAGCAGCCAGGCTTGGCTCACCTTCTGGAAGTAGCCTCTCTTCACAGAGCTGTCCTTGACTTGTCGGAAGAACACGTAGCCAAAGTAGTGTGCAGGGTCTCTCTGGGTTGGGGAAGCAGAAGTGTCTGTGAATGACCCCCCACAAATCACTTTCAGCCCCAGCGCCTGGCATGCAGGGACGTCCCCAAGGCTACAACCCTCTAGAGCAGGGCTGGGTGACCTGGGGGCAGGATGCGGCCCAATCGCCTTCTCAGTCCAGGAATCAGTGTGTTTTTACATGAGTAGAATGTGTCCTTTTATTTAAAATGCATCTCTGGGTTCTTTGTGGGGCATAGGAATTCGTTCATTCCCCCCCCCAATATAGTCCAGCCCCCAACAAGGTCTAAGGGACAGTGGACCGGCCCACGGCTGAAAAAAGTTGCTGACCCCTGCTCTAGAGACTGCTTTCCATTCAGCAGGAACTTGCCACCCTCACATCAACCCGCCTGGCTCATGCCATCACCTAAGCCTGCACCCACCATTATGGTGCAGATGAGCTGCCAGCGGTCCCCCCCCTGCCCCGAGTCTTCCAGGAGGGGCACAGGGTGCACCAATCCAGACACAGCTTGGCTTTCACATCACTAGGAACCCATGGAGGGAAAGGCTCTCCCCTCAGAGAAGGAAACGCTGCCTGCGCTGGGGATTGAGCCAGGAAAGGAGAGCCCCCGGGGGTCTTTCTCCCCAGCCTGATGCTGAGCCTGGGTCTTGCGGGGCACTCACTCTCCCAAGGACCAGCTGATGCCCCACCAGCAATTGCTCCATTTCTGCCTCTCCAGAGAACACTGGCCTGAGAAAGCCAAGTTCATCCCCCGAGATGTTGTTCAGAATAGATGCATTTCAAATTTAACATTTTTAAAAAGTTGTTTGAAGTTAATTTTTTGTACTAAACAACCAGTAATAACGATAATAGTTTCCATCTCAGAAATGCTAAAAATCTACGTGTCCTGGAGAAAAAACCCAGACTAAAGCCAAGCATCTCAACCCTTTTGCTTTTAACCCTGAAAATATCACAACTGACCTGTAATGATACAGCAGCTTCCCTGTTATATTCAAAGTCATCCCCATACAATGCATTCCGCTGCCCCCCAGACTGACGGAAGCGAAAGCTGAACTGGGTGTCTCCGAGGCTGCCTGGGATGGACAGAGACAGGGCAGGAGAAACAGAGCAGCTGAGACAATGGATTCCAGAGAATTCTGCCCTCCTCAAAAATCAACATGCCTGCAGCCATCGTCCAGGGTGACTGCAGGCCCCCACGCAAGCTGGAAAAGGACACTGGCATGAATGTCCAGAGGCAGAGCACTCCCTTGCCCTGATTGAGGACAGGACCTCTACCCTTTACACCAGTGCTTGCAACTCCTTCCCTAACAATACTGTTGTTTTTTTAATGAAATATTTATTAAAGTTTTACAAAAAACATAAGTTTACAGAATAAGGTTTACAAAAAACATAAGTTTACAGAATAGAAGAAATTAAAACATAAATTAACAAACTAAAAAAACACACACATAAAAGAGAAGAATAAAAAAGATACAAAATACAAAGAAAATACTAATAACTAGAAAGAAGAGGGAAAAAACAAAATTTAGACATAAATACAATTTTCGATATCTTTAAGCTCATTTCCTTATTTCCTTGACCTCCTCACACCTCCCCTTTTTGTATTCCCGTTTAAAAAATCATTTCAACAAATCCTTACCCTCTTTCATTTATCTTTACTCAATATCTTAAGCTATTATAACTATGTATTTTCATCCAATATCAATTCATATTTGCATATTCTTGTTAATCTTTTTACCAATACTGCTTATTTTCAATCCCTAACAATTCTGAAGTGACTGCAGAGACACAGATTGAATGCTACCAGTGAAGACTCTGCCTTTTCCCAGGAATCTGTGTGGGGCATTTTAGAAAAGTTGTTCTCTGTTGAGCCACTGCCTTAGCTGCCTAGAACCTGACATTGTTTGAAAAACACAATACAAATACCAAAGCAGATCAAATCAGCCAGTGGTTCAATGACTGTAAAGCCTCCCTTCTCGACTCTGCCCTGCCCTTGTGCCAAACCCACTTACCTGAGTAAGAGTCGGGGAAGGATAGGTAGCAGATGCTTGTTTTCTGGAACACAGGAAGCGAAGAGGGTGTGAAGAGCAGCTCCTCCCCCCACTCCCTACCCCATAGGCTTTGGGGCCAGGGCAGCAGCAGTGGGGCCGGGGCCCTCTCACCTCTTTTTCCGTCAAGGTGTAGTCAGGGGGATACACCAGCTGCAAAAAAAGAGAAACTCTCAGTGATTGGAGCCGGCAGTTGGCAGAGCCCAGCCCCTCCCAGCAAGAGCTGCATTTGGAGGGGTGCTGGAGACCTCTGGTTCATGTCTGCACCTGCTCTGAGCTCCAGGGCCCCTGGATGCATCCTGGGCTGGGCTGGGGGAGATGTCAAAAGGAGCCTCTTCCCTCAGGGTGCCCCACCCACCAAAAGGAGGCACACGGCTCGGCGTCGCCACAAACCAGGTGAGCCCTAACCCAAGAAGCAACGGGGCCTCAGCTCAGCTACTTGGTGGAGCTGTCCATGGAGGCGCAGGTCAATTCTGTGTCCAGGGCAGCTGTCTACCTGCCTGCAGACTGTCTGGCCAGAGTGGTGCATGCTCTGGTTATCTCTCGCTTGGACTGCTGCAATGCGCTCTACGTGGGGCTACCTTTGAAAGTGATCAGGAAACTGCAATTAATCCAGAATGTGGCAGCCAGACTGGGGACTGGGAGCAGCCGCTGAGACCACATAACACCGGTCCTGAAAGACCTACATTGGCTCCCAGGACATTTCCAAGTGCCATTCAAGTGTTGGTGCTGACCTTGAAAGCTCCAAACGGCCTTGACCCAGTATACCTGAAGGAGCATCTCCACCCCCATCATTCAGTCTGCACACAGAGGTCTTCCTCCTGAGAAGTGAGGTTACAGGGAGCCAGGCAGAGGGCCTTCTCGGTGGTGGCGCCTGCCTTGTGGAACGCCCCCACAATGACACCCCGATGTCAAAGAGATAAACAACTATCTGACTACAGATAGGTAGCCGTGTTGGTCTGCCATAGTCAAAACAAAAAAAATTCCTTCCAGTAGCACCTTAAAGACCAACTAAGTTAGTTCTTGGTATGAGCTTTCGTGTGCATGCACACTTCTTATCTGACGTTTAGAAGACATCCGAAGGCTTTTTAATGACTGATGTTTTAATGTATTTTTAACCTTTTGTTGGAAGCTGCCCAGAGTGGCTGGGGAAACCCAGCCAGATGGGGGGCGAATAAATAATTTTATTGTTATTATGCTCCCTCAGGGTGCCCCACCCACCAGAAGAAGGGGGCAAAGGGGGCACACGGCTCAGCCCCCAACCAAGAAGCAACGGGTCACTTAGTGGCCCCGAAGGATCCGGCGGAGAATCTGCTCCGCTTCCCGCCTCCTCCGCGCCTGACCTGCGGAACTCCCTGGGCTCCCGGGGGCGCCGGACCCACCTCCACGGCCTGGCCCAGCTCCAGGTCGAAGGTGACGGCGCACACGCACTCCAGCCAGGCCGACAGGCGCCCCCAGGGCAGCGCCGAGGGACTCCCGGCGCCCGGAGAGGAGGAGAGGCGGCGGCGGCGGCGGAGCGCCTCCAGCCCGCCCGGAGCCTCCATGGCGGCGGCGCCGGAAGCGGGCCCTGCGAGGAGGCCCCGCCCCTTCCGCCACCGAGCGCGGCGGGCCCAGAGAGGCGCCCCGAGCCCTCCAGCGCCCCCAGCAGGCCGGAGAGAGAGAGAGAGAGAGAGCGGGGACGGGGGGCGCCGCGGCGGCGGCGGCAGAAAGCCCTCGTTCCCGGGAGGGGGGGGAGGCGGCGGGTCCCGTTTTCTCCCGCGCCCCCCCCCCGCGAGGCCGGCCGGGTCCTCCGCCTCCTGGGGTCGGCCTGGGCGGTTGTGCGCAGGCGCGCCTGGCCCCTCCCCCTCCCGCGCGCTCTCTCGGCGCCGCCATTTTGGAGCTGAGGGGAGGCCGCGGAGAAGCCCGTCCCGCCCGGCCGAGGGAGGGAGAGAGAGGGAGGCCGGCCGGCCCAGGAGGCGCCCGGGACACCCTCCGCCCCCGCCCCAGGTAAGGCCTCCAGGGAGGGCGGCCTCCTCCGCCACCGCCTCCCCCCCTCAGGTAGACTGCGCCTGGGCCTGGAGGCGCCACCGAGCGCGTCCCGGGCAAGAGCTCCGCCTCGGCTGGTGGCGGCGGGGTGTCCAGCCTCCGGCAGCTCCCCAGACCCCGGGCTGCTTCTTGTGGGGAAGGGGCTCCCGCCTGCAGGGCCCCCTCGCCTTCCCCCGGCCTGCTTCCCCTGGATGTGGGGCTCCGTCCCCAGGGAGAAGAGGAGGACATTATTCTGGCCAGAAATTTAGGAAAGAGAGAGAATAACTTAAAACGCCAAACAGCAACAACAGTAACACGAATCTCATGACAGACTCGGATGGAATCTCGAAGTTGAAGGAAATTATAAAGTAAAAAATGTCCTGATCTCTAACGGAAAAGAATAATAAAAATGAAGTGCGTATAGACTAGTAAGGTAGAAAAAGCGCAGTGAAGTGAATCGGAAGTTAAAGGGGATGTAATGTCAAATGAGGGGGTGTTAGTCTATGGTTTGTTTATGTTGTTTTTCATTGTGTTTATGTTCTGTGTAAATTGTTCTGTAATAAAGAATCTAAAAAGAAGAAGAAGAAGAAGAAGACTGCATCCTCGCTTCCTATAGGAAGCAGGTGGAGGTGTGTCGGTGCAGGATCGGGGCTTGGAGGCAACCAGGGGCCAGGAAGCAGGATGCCCGGAAGATGGAGGGGCGAGGGAGGGGGGGTTGTTCCTCATCCCACCTTTGCCCTTTGAGGTCCAGGCAAGGCTTCTGTGGCTAAGAGCATCTCTCTTCTCCCCCCCCCCCCCCCGCAAAGCTATGGCCAGTTTGCTAGCCGGAGCTGTTCCTGAACCCGGGCAGCGGAGCCTTGGTTCTGCATGCTCTGCCAGTCTCCAGCTCCAGTGGTCCCAAAATCCAGCGCCCCAGAAACTCCACACCCAGTGCGACTGAACCGGTCATTCTCCCCTAGATCCCCCCTGGGTACTGCTCAACTCCCAAATCAGCCTTGGGCTCTGTGCATAGGGCACCCATGGGAGGTGGTCGGGGTGCTTGGTTTGATGTGGCCAGTGCCGGATTCTGCTGCTGCGAGGGCTGCCTGGCACCTCAGGGACACAGCGCCTGCTTTGGCTGCCGAGGGGGCTGCCTTGGGTGGACGAAGCCCTGGACGACTTGGGATGTAGGCATCTGTGAGAAGGCTCCCTTCAGCAGAGGTAGTCCTGGTAAACCTAGGACTAGCCCTACAGATGTAGGAGGCTGTGGAAGTTCATGAACCCATGCATGATGCGGAGAAAGTGGATAGGATAGCTCAGAGTATGAGACTCTGAACCGCAGGGTCATGGGTTTGAGCCCCACATCAGGCGGAAGATTCCTGCATTGCAGGGGGTTAGACCAGATGATCCTCTTGGTTCCTACCAACTCTTTGATTCTATAATCCTGGACATCCAATAAAGCTAAATAATTGGAAGAGTCTGGACATGCTCCCCTCGGAGAGGCTCACTTGCTGCCTTCATTACAATATCTTTAGGTGCCAGGTAAAAACGTTTCTCTTCAACCAGGCCTTTGGCTGATTAACATTCTATATCCTTTTAAATTGGCTTGTGAGGGGGGTGGTTATTGGTCTGTTTTTGTTTTGTAATGTGCTTTGTGTTCTCAGTTTGTATTTTTATGTTGCGAACCACCCTGTAATATTCACACGAAAGGTGGTATAAAAATTTAATAAGTAAATAGATAATCAAAAGATAAAATGCTTAATCAGGCAGCACATAGTTAAAACTCTGGAACTCACTCCCACAGGAGGCAATGATGGCCAGCGACCTAGAGGGCTTTGAAAGAGAATTAGCCTAATTCATGGAGGAGGAGGAGAAGGCTCTTAATGTCTGCTAGCCATGGTGGCTGGTGGAAGGGATCAGGCTCTTATGCTTGCAGCCTACTTGCAAGTTTCCCAAATGGGGGCTCTGCTTGGCCACTGTGAGAACAGGATGCTGAACTAAATGGGCCACTGGCCTGATCCAGCAGGCTCTTTCAATGTTACTACGTTCTGGATCAGACCAAAGGGGACCCATCTAGACCTGCGCCCTGTTCTCACCGTGGCCAACCAGCAAGCAGGAATGCAGCTTTGCAGCAGCTCAGAAGCAGTTGCTTCCTCTGCCCATGGCAACTGTTGCTTTCTAGCTGGGGTAGATGGTGGAAGATGTGAGAAAGGCATATTCTACGCTAGGAATCATTAGGAAAGGAATTAAAACTAAAAGTGCCCATAGCAATGTACAAATCACTTGCATTTCAGTGTCATCTCAAAAGGGATATTGTGTAGATGGAAAAGGCTCAGAAAAGAGCAGCGAAAAGAGGGTGCAGAAACTGATCTATGAAGAGAGGTTGCAGCATTTGATGGTGTTGAGCAGCGACCACCCCCCTCACAAATCCCCTCTTTTTAGGTTCCGACCTGGGTTTGGAACTGAATCCACCTTGGCTGCCCTCTCAGGAGAGGTACTGGGGAGGGGGGAGTGTGATCCTGTTGTTCTTTTGATACCATTGGCCATCAGGTTGCACGGACTTGAGTGCTCCTTAGCCCTTTGGCTTTGGAGCTGTGGGATGCCGCATGGCCCTAGATGGTCTCCAGTGCTGTTTAACATCTGTATGAAGGAATTGAGAGTGGTCATTAGGAGTTTTGGAGGAAGGTGTTGTGAGTTTGTGATGGGACCCAACTCTGTTTCTCTGTAACATCTGAATTGGGAGTGGCTGAGTAGGTGGGCTGGATGAGGCTAATAAGCTGTGCCTGAAGCCTGTCATGGGGGAGCTCTGGGTGAATCATTCCCACGGTTGGGAAGTCTGCAGTTGCTTGCCCTGGAAGGGGTCACGCTGTCCCAGAAGCAGCAAGTGCGCAGTTGGGCTGTTCATGGATCCCACTCTCTTGCTGGAGGTGAGCCATGTTAGCCATGTTCAAATATATAAAAGGATGTCATATAGAGGAGAGAGAAAGGTTGTTTTCTGCTGCTCCAGAGAAGCGGACACGGAGCAATGGATCCAAACTACAAGAAAGAAGATTCCACCTAAACATTAGGAAGAACTTCCTGACAGTGAGAGCTGTTCGACAGTGGAATTTGCTGCCAAGGAGTGTGGTGGAGTCTCCTTCTTTGGAGGTCTTTAAGCAGAGGCTTGACAACCATATGTCAGGAGTGCTCTGATGGTGTTTCCTGCTTGGCAGGGGGTTGGACTCGATGGCCCTTGTGGTCTCTTCCAACTCTATGATTCTATGTGAACATGTTCTGGCAGCTAGGAGGGCGTTTTTCTGACCTTGGTTGGTAAGACAGCTGTGGACGTTCTTGGACCAGGGTAGCTTAACCACATTTGTTGGTACATTGGCAACCTCATGGTTTGATTACCGCAATGCGCTCTGTGGGACTGCCCTGGGGGTTGGTTTGGAGGCTGAAGCTGATTCAGAATGTAGCAGGCTTTCCTGAGAGGGAAAACGACTGCCAGCAAAGAACACCTGGCTTGGCACTGGGCCAAAATCACGGTGTTGGGCTAACATAGAAGACCCTGTGCAGCTCAGGTCTGGGTTGCCTGAGAAACCACCCTTTGTCTTATTCACCCAGTAGGTCACTGGCCTGTAGGAAAGATTCTCCTGCAAGTTCCAAAAATCTCAAAAGTCCTCTCTGCAATAACTTGGAGCAGAGCCCCTGTTCTGTGGAATAGCATTCTTCCTGAGATCTGACAGGTGCCTGCTGTCTGCATCTTTTGGAAACAATTGAAATGAAGACATTTCTGTCCTGATAGACTTTCCCAGCTGGATGAATGGGCCTTTCCCAGGAGTGGCTATTTTGTAGTGCTTTATTCATGCTTCAAATGTATCTGCTGCTACTAGTATCTGTTACTAACTGTATTTTGCTGTTTTTATTGTACGTTGGCTTGAGACGATGGTGCAGAAGGAAATTAATAAATTACTGATGATAGAGGTGTGTAAAATTATGCATGTGGATAAACTGGGGCCTCCCATGAAGCTGAATGGGAAGATTCAGGACAGGCAAAATAAAGTTCCTCACGCAATGCCTAGTGAAACTGGGGAATTTGCTCCCAGAAGATGCCATGATGAGCAGCGACTTGGACGGCTTCAAGAGAGGATTCTGGAAGGAGAACAAGGCTACCCATGGCTCCTAGCCACGCTGGCTGTCTTCTCCACTGCTAGTGGCATCCAATGCCTCTGAATACTCGTGCATAAATCAGCGCATGGGGTAGAGAAAAGGGATGCACGCTTTGTCTCCATCTTGCAATATGTAGTGACAGCCACTAGCCAGGATGGTTTTAATGAGATCCAATTTGCAGTTGCCTAGGGATTGTTGGAGCACAAAAGGTGGTGGTCCTGTCCCCCACCAGAACTGGTGCTGAGTGTCCAGCCAGTGTCTGCCCACAGCAACCCAACTCTAAGGGGAATATTGAACGAGATGTTTCGCCTTTCTCCCGTTTCCTGTTGAAGCGTTGAAGTATCTTTTCCTTCCATCTCTTCCCCCTCTCCAGCCAGCCCTCCTTCCGCTCTACATCTGCAAGGGCTCCCTTGCCTCCCATCTGTTCTTCCTCTTTCCTAACTTTCTCTCTTGTAACTTCCGATCCATTCATCTACTGCTGACTCTCGCACAGGGTTTGGCCAGTGTTAGAAGCTGAGATGTATAACTGATCGCCAAGGGGCACTTTTCTGCCCCAGTTTCTAATACTGCCCCCAACTGGAAAGGAGCCTCTGAGGATTCCCTCCTGCCAGTGCCTGGGCCCACGGGGGGGGGGGGGGGGAGCGAAGGCCAAGGCCCTTTTTGGTCAACCACCACCAGCTCAGACCTCAGTAGCATCTATGTAATGCTAGGATATTTTGCCCCTGCGTGCATCCATCCCCTTACGCTTGTTAATGCTGCATCCGATTTATCGTATTAAGGCTCATTCACCCAGTTTGGAGAGATCCTTTTGGAGTGCTTCATAGCCTCTTTTGGTTAAAAACCACCCTGAACAACTTGGTGTCACCAGCAAACTTTGCTAACTCATCTCCAGGAACAGCTAGAAAACACTTTGTCTCATGCTGCAGACTTGGGTTCAAAAAGCAAGCAACACCCAGAAAATCTCACCCACTGTCACCAAGAACGAGACTAGAATGGCTTTCTTAGGGTTGCCATATTTCAAAAAGTGAAGATCAGGACACAAAAGTTGTTGAGTTTTGGGGGGTTTTTTTTGCAAAAAACAAACAAAAACCCTACTGATATGGGCTGCTGTACACCGAGTTTCCCCAGACATTTTAGCCACTTTTATGAAATTCTGCCCAGATGTCATTTTTGAAGGCATTATTGCTTGGATGTGTGGCAGCCCTGGGTTTTCTTATCTATTGGAAGAGATAAGAATATTTATTCTACTTACACTCCTCTCTCCATACTAAGCGTGCCATTAGATACACAAAATCAAACTTCAGAATGGGTAGCTACACAGGAAGGGACCCCCCCCACCATGCAAAAAACCTCTCTTTTATTGTCATAATTTCCAGTCTGCTCTCCCACCCCCATGCTCAATCTGCATTCCTAGGGGAAAAAAGATGTAGCAGAATCCAAATAAAGGAGACAAACCTTTATTCTATCAAAGCAGCCAGCAAAAATTTTATTTTGCGAAGAAATGAAAGGCAAAGCAAGAAAAGAGGCACTGCTTTACTGCTAGAGCTGTTTCACTTTCGAGAAGCAAAATCACCATTATAAGCCTTTTAGTAATTAGTCAGCCCCCTGCTCCCCCCCCCAAGAGAGAGAAGCAGTCCATTAACCCATTAACTTTGCAGCTGTTTTGTTTGCTTGCAAACAAAGTAGAGGGGTGAAAACCAGCTCCCCTCCCCTTGCAAAAGAGCTGTTTGCTTACTTATGGAAATCGTACAAAAATGGAAAAATGTTTCCCTCCTCTGCGCATCAGAGGCCTTCCTGAAAGGGAACAGTCAGTCCTAGCAGAAGGAAACCACACGACTGCAAATCTCAACTTGGTCTCTAGGTGGTGCTTCAGAGTCGCAAAAAGTGACTGGCGCCCAGTTAATTTCGAACAGTAGTGTCATGTTTTTGTGTCTTAAGTGTGTGGTCACAGCCTCCCCCCCCCCCCCCAGTTTTAAGGACATTTGATTGTTTTGTTGCATAATAGCATCAGGTAATGCTGAGCTATACAGATGCTATACGGGGCTCCTAAGCTCTAGTTTATTTTTGTGAATTTTGCACATTTCTTTTACTCACTAGTGCTGCTCACAGCCTACGGCTGTGACCAAGGACTTGGAAGGTGTTGGTGGGGCTGCCATCCAGCTGACAGGGGGGTGGTGTCATATTCCTGCATTTCGGTGCTGTGAGGTGAGCCATTGAGATGCCGTTCTGGGTCATGTCCAAGTTTCCCTTGAGTCCCACCTCTCCCTCCCTCCCTGGGGACAGAAGTGGCCCCCATCTCCGAGCAAGAGGCTCCTGATCCCAGCCCTCACTTTCCTTCTGACCTTGAGGACCTTGACCAGTCCTTAGGCTGGTACAGTGGTACCTCGGGTTACAGATGCTTCAGGTTATAGACTCCGCTAACCCAGAAATACAGTTAGAACTGGATATGGAACAACTGATTGGTTCAAAATTGGGAAAGGAGTACGACAAGGCTGTATTTTGTCTCCCTGCTTATTTAATTTATATGCAGAATACATCATGCGAAAGGCTGGGCTGGATGAATCCCAAGCTGGAATTAAGATTGCCGGAAGAAATATCAACAACCTCAGATATGCAGATGACACAACCTTGATGGCAGAAAGTGAGGAGGAATTAAAGAACCTTTTAATGAGGGTGAAAGAGGAGAGCGCAAAATATGGTCTGAAGCTCAACATCAAAAAAACGAAGATCATGGCCACTGGTCCCATCACCTCCTGGCAAATAGAAGGGGAAGAAATGGAGGCAGTGAGAGATTTTACTTACTTGGGCGCCATGATCACTGCAGATGGTGACAGCAGCCACGAAATTAAAAGACGCCTGCTTCTTGGGAGAAGGGCAATGACAGGCCTAGACAGCATCTTGAGAAGTAGAGATGTCACCTTGCCAACAAAGGTCCGTATAGTTAAAGCCATGGTCTTCCCAGTAGTGATGTATGGAAGTGAGAGCTGGACCATAAAGAAGGCTGATCGCCGAAGAATTGATGCTTTTGAATTATGGTGCTGGAGAAGACTCTTGAGAGTCCCATGGACGGCAAGAAGAGCAAATGCATCCATTCTTAAGGAAATCAGACCTGAGTGCTCACTGGAAGGACAGATCGTGAAGCTGAGGCTCCAGTACTTTGGCCACCTCATGAGAAGAGAAGACTCCCTGGAGAAGACACTGATGCTGGGAAAGATGGAGGGCCCAAGGAGAAGGGGGCGACAGAGGACGAGATGGTTGGATAGCGTTTTTGAGGTTACCAGCATGAGTCTGACCAAACTGCGGGAAGTAGTGGAGGACAGAGGTGCCTGGCGTGCTCTGGTCCATGGGGTCACAAAGAGGCGGACACGACTAAACGACTAAACAACAACAACAACAAACCCTGAGAACCAGATAGTACCTCGGGTTAAGAACTTTGCTTCAGGATGAGAATAGAAATTGTGTGGCGGTGGTGGGAGACCCACCGGAACTGTACAGTGGTACCCTACGGACCTCAGGAACTGTACAGTGGTACCTCTAGTTACGAACTTGATTCGTTCCAGAGGTCCGTTCTTAACCTGAAACTGTTCTTAACTAGAGGCGTGCTTTCGCTAATGGGGCCTCTTACTGCTGCTGCGCCACCGGAACATGATTTCCGTTCTCATCCTGGGGCAAAGTTCTCAACTTGAGGTAACTCTTCCAGGTTAGCAGAGTTTGTAACCTGGGGTGCTTGTAACTTGGGGCGTTTGTAACTCGAGGTACCACTGTAGTTCGTTGAGAATAAGGCTTGAGAGAGCAAAAGGGGAAAGCTATGGGGTTCATGAGGGAAAATTCAAATCTGTCTGCCTGAAGATGCAGGCTTCTTGTCTCCTCGCAAGCAAGCAGCACAGCGTCCTGGGGGTTAGAGGGATCCTGAGGTTGGCAGCCTGCCATTCTGGATCCAGCTGGGCTCCGATCAATATGTTCTTCTGAGAAACCAGGAAAGACATTGTTGCCGCCACGGTTGGGAAGTTGTGGGAGGGGGGACTCCCCACACTGCAATGGCTGCTGGATTGGCCCCATTTCCCTGCCAGGTCATGACAAGCTTTCCTTGGCTTGTGTATGGAGACTTGGCTGGATGTCCGTGGCCGGCTGCCTCCTGGGAATGCGCCTTTGGCTGGGGGCAGGCAGAGCCCATCTCTCCCTGGGCTCAGGTCAGGAAGGGACAAGGAGGACTGGCCAGCCCTTTGCCCCACTGGCCTTTGGCGGTTTGTGGTGTGCCATTGGAAGTGACACTAGTGTGTGTGTGTGTGTGTGTGTGTGCACACCAGAGTATGTGAAGGGATTGAAATTTTTGTTCTTTGGGAAGGAAGAAGAGGAAGCGAATGTTGCAGGCCACGGCATATTGTGTTGGTAGCCCCAGAGTGTGGCGTTTTGGCAGTGTGTTCAGCATCTCCAGGTCTGTGCCCCCAGGTCACCAGATGTTGGCTTTGGCCCCCTTTGCTTTGTCTTCATTGCCTGGAAATAGCACCCAGTGCTGAAAAGAAGTCGGTGGCCTTGTGGAGAATCACCTCTCCTGAAGGGCCTCCATTAAAGGCCCCCAACTGGTTTGAGTTTGATGTGGTAAGCCAGGCTTTGGATGGGTCTCTGGGGGTTCAGCGTGTTTGATTTGTGAGGTGGTGCCTTTTCTCTGACTCCAGCTTCAGGCATTCTTCGGTTCAGGTTCAAAGTCCTTCCAAGCCTGTTCCCACCTTTTTGCCGGGGCTCCTGTCCCTGGTGGGCTGGCTCAGACTCAGAATCTGGCCTTTGGGGGCATTTCTTATTGCATCTGTTACACTGTGTTTGCTGCTCTTTCCCCACTGAAGAAGCAGGCCCTTAATTCCAGGTTTCCCTTCCCCAGCTCTCTGGACTGCTCAAAGGAAAACCCGGTTGAGGTCTGCTCCGAAATAGTGGAAGGGAGAGATGGATTCGGTTGCAGCCAGGCTTGGCCTCACGCAGTAATCCCAAAGAGGGATTTTGGGGACATTTCCTGGATTCCCTTTTGCCTCTTTCATGGAGCAGCAGCCCTTGCTGAATGCACTGTGCTTGTATTCTGGTGGTGTGAGGATTTTTGGAACGAGGGGAAGTGGCCTTTGGGTTTCCTTGACAACCTAGATCTTTCTTTTGAGCGGCGTCAGGAAAACAAATGTGTGTTCTTCTCTTTTCACAGCTGAGTCTGCAAACTGAAGGGGTCTGTAAGGAAAGGCTCCCTCAATCCTTCCCTGAGACTTGGCTCCGAGTAAAAACGTACAGTGCAGGATCAGGCTGGGCATGTGGGAAAGGGCACCCTTGTCCATTTAGCCACCCATCCCGGCCCTCTCGATATCTGGTGCGGTTTCTTGCACCCGGATGCCTTCTGCTTTGTTTGTGTTTTTCAGTATTCATGACGTTTTCATTTCCTTCTTTTATTCCTCAGGCAAAAAGAGCAACTAAAGGTAAACTGAGATCAATGGAAGGTGTTCTCGAAGTGGAGACCTCTGTTGAACCAAGAAGCCAGATGTACCTCTGTCTGTGGCGAAGGTCTCGCTTTTGAAACAAGATTTGCACAAGAGGTAGGAGCTGTTGCTGGCTTTTCTTTATCGTTTGGCTTGTGGGCACTGCCAAGGAGCAGGCGAGGATGTCCATATTTGGTACAGAGGACCCTCAGAAGTGTGTGAAGGAGGAGCCTGGCGTGGGGTGCACGAGAAGTGCCTTTGGGATGAGGCCAGAAGTCCCTCTTGGTCTGCTTCTGGCATTGACTAGGAAGGTTCCCAGGAAAGCTCCCAAACAGGACTTGAGGAGGAACGGGGTGTGTGCTTTTGAACATGGCTTCTTTCTGCAGAGAGGGGTTTTGGCAAGCAGCTGTGACAGTCACAGTTTCAAGGCCTTGTCAAATCTTCTGGTCAGCTGCACTTCTGCCTGGAGCCACTAGCACTCTCAGAAACAAAACTCCCTAATGCCGCCAACTCTGGTAGGCTGCTGGCAAGTTGCTTTTCCCTTCTGAAAAGTCTAGCTCAATATATGGTCAGATCCAAATAGGATCTTATTAGTGTGCCTGTGTAGAAATCAGACAACCCTGTTCTGTTTGGGTATGTTTATCCTGGAAAGCTGAGAGGGAAGACGATAGCCATATTCAGACATCTAAAGGACTGTCACGTGGAAGATGGAGCAAGCTTGTTTTCTCCTGCTCTGATGGATTCAAGTTACATGAAAGGCGATTCCAACTAAACATCAGGAAGAACTTTCTGACAGAGCCATTTGGCAGTGGAATGGACTCCCTTGGAAGGTGGTGAACTCTCCTTCCTTGGAGGTTTTTAAGCAGAGGTTGGATGGCCATCTGTCATGGGGCTTTAGCTGAGATTCCTGCCTTGTAGGAGGTTGGACTAGATGGCCCTTGGGGTCCTTTCCAACTCTATAATTCTATGATTCAGTCTGTTTTGTCCTGAAAGAGTTGCAGCTCTCTTCAGATATAAAAGATCCCATAAAACAGCAACTAGCCTTCCTCAGTCCTCAGCCTCAGAGCCTGCAGGAGAAGCAGCACAGAAGTCAAAGCTGACTCGAAGCTCTGACCAGGGAGCCACTGCTGTTTCTTCAGCTAAGCAGCAGGCCTCAGGCACAAAAAAGTGGGTGTTGGTTGGCATCCACATGTAGCCTTGGCACTGAAAGGAAGCTTGGTGCTGGAGGTATGGATGGAAACTGCCTGGAGAAAATTGTGATCGTTTGATGTAACATTCGGGAAGAATTAAAGTCTTGAGCCTAAGTTAAAAGCTGCTTTGATGGCTTGTCTGTCTCCCTGAGCGCCGTTCTCCTGGTGCTTCACATTCACTTCTGTCTATTTGGATCTGAGTTCCTCAAAGGAAGCTGCCACAGCTCCAGACAGCTTTTACCTTTCTTTATGTGGAGTTGCAAACCTGCCAGTGTTTTGGCAGAAGGCTCAGCGCCCAAATTCAGTCCCTGGCAGCATCTCTGACTCTGCCAGTCAGTGCAGGCGATGGACCCCTGTGGCCTAGCTCCGTGTAAGGCAGCTTCCTCAGAGCATTGCAGGGCAGGGAATGGTGAGGCTACACTGGGCAGGGGTGCCCTCGCTGTGCCCATCTCTCATGGTTGTCTGGGGGTCCTGGCTGGAGTCCCTGGTAGGAACTCAGAAGCGTCACAGTCGTTGGGACGAAGCAGCTTGCGGCTTTTCCCCTTTTTTGTCAGGGGATGGTTCATGCAGGCACTCAGTGTTGCGCCAAGAGACTTTTTGTGACGTGGGAAGTGGTGGAGCAAAGGATTTGCATATGCAAATGGGTGGGAAGGCAGGTGTCTGGGAGAACTCAGACTGTCTTCCAGTTGGATGTAGCTTAACAGGGACAAAGTCAGGCGGCCCCAGGAAATGTGATCCTTCCACAGCCTTAAAGGGAACCCCAGGCCATTGCTGGCTGGTTGAGCATGAGCTAGAAGCCAAGAGGAAAGGCTTTGGGGGGATGTGGGCAGTGCAAGTGCAGGCCAAACCTGGCAGGCACATCTTTCTGACTGGGGAGGTTGGGGGTGCAGGCAGGATGCTACCCCCCCTTTTCCAGCATTGCAGGGTTGGGGGACCTGCTCTTGGGTAAGACCCAACGACTCTGCTGAGACTCGCAGCTCAACCCCATGCAGGGTTCATCCTGCCAAAGCCCTTTCATTTCAGCTGGCCTAATTCTGCGTGCCGTTGGGCTCCTTATGCCATAGAAAGCAGAGGGTCTCTTGCCACGCAGACGTGGGGCCAGAGGTTAGGTCAATGCAGGCCTTGTGCTCCATAGTCCAGTAGCAGAGGAAGGGGAGGTTGAAAGCAAAGCTCCTTTGCAGCCCTTGGTTGCTTGCTGACATTTCTTTCACAGCCCCATTGCAAAGAGCGGTGGGCCAGTGGGGCTGAGGCTGCTGCCCCTGTGTGTTTTGCAGTGTGTGTGTGTGTGTGTGTGTGCGCGCGTGTGTGCTGTTTTGTTTTTGCAACTGTGTGGAACCCAGTTCAGCTACTGATTGATTGATTCTGTGACTGCAGTGCATCATTTATTGCTTTCATTTTATGGACCAATGGTCTCATTAGACAGCAAAATTCATGTTAAATTGCAGTATTAGGGGTTGTTTTTAAGAGTCTGTAGTGGATTAATCTATTTTGCATTACTTTCTATGGGAAAGCGTGCCTTGCTTTTGGAAAGCTTTGGTTTTGGAACAGACTTTCGGAACGGATTAAGTTTGAGAACCAAAGTACCGCTGTATTTTTTAATAAATAAATAAAATCAATAAGGGAGCTCCGTAGGACGAGGCTGTTTATAACCCATTTCCCCATAGCCTGGACTCCTGCCCAGTTAGCAGAAGATGGGGTTTCTCCAAGGGGCGGGCTCGTCTGTTACCCAGTTTCCCCAGAGTGCATCTGTTCCTGTGAGATTCTCGGGCCCTGACCCAGGCGTTCACAGAGCCTTGCAGGGAAAAGGGGACGTGGGGAACTCTTCTGGCGTAGCCTTATGCTGACAGTGCTGCTGCTGCTGCTCTCTCTGGCTCCTTGCAGGTCGGTGCTCACTCTCACCATGTTCTGGAAATTTGACCTGAACACCACGTCGCATGTTGACAAGCTGCTGGACAAGGAGGATGTGACTCTGCTCGAGCTGATGGACGAAGATGACATCCTCCAGGAGTGCAAAGCGCAGAACCACAAGCTGGTGGACTTCCTGTGTCAGCAGCACTGCATGGAGGAGCTGGTCAGCCTCATCACCCATGAGCCCCCACTGGACATGGACGAGAAGGTCCGCTTCAAGTAGGTACCCGGCCCTGGAAGTCCTGCCAGCTGGCAGCGAAGAAGGGGCGTGGCCTTCCTGGTAGGGCCCTGTGGCAGAGCGGGGGGAAGCCTTTTGTTCCTTTGCATGCAAGCTTTATAGAGCGCTTTTCAGTAGTCCCTTGCCAGGTAGTTTGCAATGAAACAAAACAACAATAAAATCCCAAAGCCAGTTGTTTCCACAAAACGACATGCACATAAAAATAATGGAGGCAACAAAACAAGCCAGCAGCACATGAAGAGACAGGTCTGTGTGTGTATCCAGAGGGTGAGGGCATCTGGCGATGTTGGGGCTGTCTCTGAAGAGGCCCTGTGCAGACAGCAAGGGGCTCAGGGCCTGAAGGTAGCAGAGTCCCTGGGCCAGAAGGATGTTCCGCTCTGCCAGGGAAGCTGCGGCCCTGATGCATCCAGCCAGCGCCAGCTGCTCTCTTTGGAAGGCGCCTTGGCAGAGAGGCTTTGGAGCCATGGAGGCTGATGAGGGGAGCTCTGAGGGATCCGAGGCAGGGATGTTGCCCTGGCAGTCTGGCCACCCCAAGCATAGTCCTGCTTATCCCAGAGGAATTGCCCTTCACATCACCCATCCCGAGAACTTCCAAGAGGCAAGTTCCATTTTGGGAACCGGGATTTATGCTGGCAGACAAACCGCTTCCTCCATCAACTCCCGTCAGGCGAAGGAGAGTCTTTTTCCTGTGAGCTCTTTTGCCACGGCAAACAGGTCCGTCCTGGAGGCCCATGTGAGACCTTCTGCTCTGGTTGAAGCTCTATAGGGGCTGCATGACTGGCTGCCCCTAGTTTGAGATGGCTGCCTTTCACATTTCAGGGCAGAGGTGGTTGGGGTGTGTCTGAAGCCTGCTGCTGGCATCCCTGGTGGGTCTGCCTTTGGGCTCTTGGCACCAGTGGCAGCAGCTTCCCAAGCTCTTGGCTTTGGCTCTGTCCCTGCAGGTACCCCAACACAGCCTGTGAACTGCTGACGTCTGATGTGCCGCAGATCAACGACAGGCTCGGAGGGGACGAGGCTTTGCTGAACATCCTCTACGACTTCCTGGACCATGAGCCACCCTTGAACCCTTTGCTGGCCAGTTTCTTCAGCAAGACCATCGGCAACCTCATCGCCAGGAAGACGGAGCAGGTCAGGCAAAGTGTCCCCCCCCCCTTCCCGGCTCAGCCTGCCTCCTTTGGGTCTTGACTGTTTTTTGGGTGGCAGCTGAGGGTTAATTCACAAGGCTGTCTCTAGCTAGCTAGCTCTCTGATCTGTCTATTTTGTTCTTTAGGTAATTTCATTTTTGCGGAAGAAAGCCAAATTCCTCGACTTGGTACTGAAGCATATCGATACGTCTGCCATGATGGACCTCCTCTTGCGACTCATCAGCTGCGTGGAGCCGGCTCCGCTGAGGCAGGAAGTACTAAACGTGAGGGCTGCTCTTGGGCTCAGAGGGTTGTAGAAGTGTAGAGTGGGGAGGGACCCCCGAAGGTCATCCAGGGCAGGGCAGGAATTGAGGCTCCAGTGTTCCTGGCCTCCTTTGCTTTCTCTCTGCTGTCAGTCTTGGCCTTGACCTCGTAGGGAGCTGAGAAGAGCAGCTCCGCAAGGCTGTTCTCCGCTGGCTCCTTCGGATGCTGGAGGCTCTGTCCGCGTCCCTTTGCCAAGGCCAGGCTGGCCTGGAAGCAGAAAGGCCATGTGACCTGCGCTCTTTATTTATGGAAGTGTTTAGGTGCTGCCAGTTCATATTGTCTTAGCAATGTGCAGCAGGATAGACAAATTATGAACAACCATAAAAACAGAACAGAAGGCGTCAAGTGAAGGGCTGGTCAGGAAATTCAACTGGTTGCCCAGGCCTCTCTTCATAAGCAGGCCTTGAAGTGAGGCTGCCTGCCAGCTCTCTGCTGGGGAAGGGCTCTTCTTCTGCACTTGCTGTTTCCAGTTTGCTCTCTTTAAGAAACGGAGACTATGATCTCTGCGGAAACACCTCAGTTGGCTCCTTTGGGGCCTTGTACAGGCGTACCTCGGAAGTCAAATGCGTGTTGAAAGTTTTGGCTCCCGAATGCCGCAAACTCGGAAGTGAGTGTTCCTCTTTGTGAGCATTCTTTGGAACCTGAACGTCCGTTGTGGCTTCCAAGGCTTCCGGTTGGCTGCAGGAGCTTCCTGCAGACAATCGGAAGCCGCATCCTGGTTCCCAAACATTTTGGAAGTCGAACAGACTTCCAGAACGGATCCCATTCGACCTTCAAGGTACAACTGTCTTCCACTGCCCCCCTCCCGCCATGGCTTCTGAAAGGACTGACATGGCCAGAGGCCTGAACCTGCTGTTTTCAGTGGTGGAAAGTGGAGCTTCATCTGGAGGGCAGAGAGAAGCCAGCTCCAGACTGGCAGGGCCACGAAGGGAACTCCCCCAGCCTCCTGGGCCTGGCCGGGGGCCACACAAGGGCGACTTTCTCACTGGCGCTGCTTCCTCTTCTCTCCTTCCCTGCAGTGGCTGAATGAAGCACAGATCATCCAGCGGCTCGTGGAGCTGATCCGTCCCGACCAGGATGAGGATGTGAGTGCAGCCTCCTGTCCGTGGGGCTCTCCAGCTCTGTCTCCGAGAGCATCTTAGCAGAAACCTTTCCTTTGTTCTGCTTAAGCTCTTTTGCAGGGAGAACCTACCGAGACATTTTGCCAGTGAGCAGTGGGAGAGGGTGGGCAGGAAGCTCTGGGCAGTGCCAGTGAGGAATGGGCAGCTGTGGTGTCGACGCTTAATTGTGGAAAGGGAAAAAGGGCCTGAAAGGAAGAGAGCAGCTGCCTCCTGGGTCCCAGGCGGGGCCAGTCAGCACTGCCGTTGCTGCTCATCAGTGCTGAAAGGATGAGGGGCCAAGCAGTGCTCTGCTTGCCCCCCGCCCCCCCCTCTGTGCAGTCTGGTCTGCTTCCCCCTTTGGGTGCTAAGTTTCAAAATTTCACACACCCATTAGCATCTCTTGTGGTCCACCCAGTGTTGAGCCCCCCCTATGGGAATCCTCTGATTTTGAGGCTTCCCAATCTGGGGTCATGTGCCTGTCCTTATAATAATAATTTATTACTTATACCCCGCCCATCTGGCCGGGCCTCCCCAGCCACTCTGGGTGGCTCCCAACACAATATGAAAACGTGATAAACCACCACACATTAAAAATTTCCCTTAGTGGAGCTTTTAAGCTGGGAGGTTGAGGGAGTGTGTTTATGTGTTAGGGCAGACCCACTCCTGGGCACAGAAGGCAGGCAGGAGTTCTTTTCAAGCAGGACCTCAGTCTGGAACTCCTCACCTTTAGAGTCAATTCCTGCTGTGCTGCACCATCTTTACAGCTTTAGCCCAGAAGTCAAGAGGGGGCCACTGGCCACCTCCCTCCATTCCCAGGGGTTTGGGGTTCTGCATTGCTGTCAGCTGCCCGGCCCCCTTTTCTCTGAAGGCTGAGAGGAGACCCCTTTTGCCACCACTGACTCGTCTCCTGTTTGCAGAGGCAGTCCAACGCTTCCCAGACCTTGTGCGACATCATAAGGCTCAGCAGAGACCAGAGCAGCCAGTTCCAAGAGGTGGCTGAGCCCGACCCACTCCTGGCAGCTCTGGAGTCGTAAGTACAGCAGACAGAAGCTTGGGGGGGGGGGGCTGGGAGCACCAGGGGCTGCTCTCGGCCACTTTCTTGTGGATGTTCTTAAAAGGGTGTTGAGGTTTTCCTCAGCTGGACAGAGCAGGCAGGCGTCTCCTTGACTTTTTTAAAAAAAATATTATTTATACCCCGCCCATCTGGCTCATGAGGAGCACAGCTTCCAGGGGACTGGACCTGATTTGGGTCTCCCAGCTCGGTTCCCTTCCTGTGGGGATGTTGTGTTAGAATCAGAGAACTGTAGAGTTGGGAGGGACCCCGAGGGGCATCTAGTCCAGCCTCCCACTATGCAGGAATCTCAGCTAAAGCAGTCATGGCAGATGCCAATCCTCCATGTGACAGCCCTTCGGAGATTTTTTTTTTTGTTAGAACATTTATTAATTTTCCAATAAAAAACATCCAATTAATATATCAAATCATAATCCAATAAAAAACTAAAATAAAATTATCTTCCGCATTTAATTCAAATTATCTTCCGCATTTAATTCTAATTGTGCAACTTCCCACGGTCTGAACATCAAAGCAACTCCAAGTCTCAGTCCTGCCTCTCACAATATTTCCATATTGCCCTTCGGAGATTTCAAAGTTAGTGTGATGTCGTGGCTGGAGGGTTGGACTTAGGAGGCCGAGGGTCAAACCAGTACTCAGCCAGGAGCCTCAGGGGGTAAGCCTTGGGCTCATCCTCCTTTCTCAGCCTGGCCCACCTCGCAGGGGGGGTGTTGAATATCAGCATCCTGCTTAAGAAGGCTGATGACCCAGCTGCAGCCCGAGAGGAGGGGGAGCAGCAGCCAGGCAGGCCCCCCCCCCAATTCTCTGGGCAGGCCGTGTCAGGTTGGAAGCCAGGGGTGGGGAGGGGGCCAAGGCATAGATGTTTGTTTGGGGAAAAGGTTGCTGCATCCTGACTTGTGGATTCGGGACCCCCTTAAAAATGGCCTCTAACTTTTCCTTGGTGTTTCCAGGCAGGAATGTGTGGAGCAGCTTCTGAAGAACATGTTTGATGGTGAGCAGACAGAGAGCTGCCTTGTGAATGGGACTCAGGCTCTGTTGACGTTGCTGGAGCCGAGGCGCACCAGGTAAGCTGGTTTGGGGGCTGACCAGATGCATCGTAGCAGAGACTTCAGGGTAGAACTTAGACTCTTGGGCGCCTGGCCACGCGGTTGACAAATGCTTGCTAAAAATAAATAAGCGAAGTACAGGAGAGCCCAACTTATTACTGATTTACTTAGATAATTGCAGCTTTGTGAGAGTGGCAGGAAAATAAGTAAATAAACAGAGAGCTTGTGGGGAGGGAATAGTTGGAAGAAGCCGTCCAAGATCTCGCATGACCTGCCCAGAGCCTGGGAAGCAAGATGGAGGGAGCTATTTCTGCCTTGGGTTTTCCTGCTGCTGAAAGGGTTCTTAAGCCCTCCGCCTGGCTTATCGCCCCCTGGGAAGGTTGTGTGAGGCCTGTGGGAAGGTCATGGGAGGTCCATGCAAGACCTCACATCTTGTGAGACATGCTGGCAGTGGAGGGTCTGCTTCCCTTGGCACCGGAGGCGCAGGCCCGCTTGTGTAGAGCTCTCCAACTCATGGGGCTTTGCGTGGTCTGAGTCTTGAGCCTGGTTTGCCTCTCTTCCCCCGCAGTGTGGAGGGGCTGGTGGACTCTTTCTCTCAGGGATTCGAAAGGTCTTGCACTGTCAATAGCAGCATCCTGGGTGGCATTGAGCCGCGGCTGAAGGACTTCCACCAGCTGCTTCTGCACCCGCCCAAGGTAGGGAGATTCTCCCCCCCCCCCCCGCTTCTCCTCAAACCCTTCTTCAGTCTCCCCACGAGGCTGTGTGTCTAAATATATAGATGTACGGTGTGTGTTGGTGATGGTGGGATCCGTCAGATCCAGTTGGTACTTTGGTAATCAGAGGGGAAATCCAGGAGGCGTTGGGGGATTGGGAATCTGTTTTGCTCAGACTTGAGCTCCATTTGTGGAATTTTTAATTTTCACCAAGGAGATACTGTAGAGTAAAAGGCACAAGACGAAATGGCTTCTGTTATGGGATTAGCAGAGGACAGAATCTTTTGAAGTGCATGGGACTCTTCATCAGGTGGAAACCTGAAAGCTTGCATACTTCTGCAGCAGCTCACATCAGTCCTGTAAAAACCACTTCCATCCCTGTTACGCATTTCTTGGGTGAAGGGCTGAGTGCACGTTCTGTGCAGGCAGGCGGCTGCTTTGTCCCCCCAGAGGGGAGAGAGTGGCTTCTGCCTCCATCCAAAGCACCCTGTTAAGGATTCCTGCAGCTTTGTGCTCTGCTGTTCTGACCGCCAGCCCCCTTGCTGTGGGGTGCGGGGCAGGGGACAGGAGGAGCTGAGGCTCTCTGCGGGGGACGTCATGTTGGTTTGGCCTGAGAAGCCCATTTTGTCTCTCTGCTGGGGGCAGGCAGCATCCATTCTGACGACCATTGGAGTCTTGGAAGAGCCGCTGGGCAACGCTCGCCTCCATGCTGCCCGCTTGGTCGCTGCCCTTCTGCACACCAACACGCCCAGCATCAACCAGGAGCTGTGCCGGCTCAACACCATGGAGCTGCTGCTGGTGAGGAGCACCTTGGGGGGGCGGGGAGAGGTCACTTGGCGGCAGAGGCTTCAGTTTGGCCTCCGGGGGTGCCCTTCGGTGGGAGTGGAGGAAACGCACTTCCACCATGGAAGAGCTTTGCTCACCGGCCTCCTTGATTTTCTTCCAGGACCTGTTTTTTAAGTACACGTGGAATAATTTTTTGCATTTCCAAGTGGAATTGTGCATCGCAGCGATCCTGGCGCATTCTGTGAATGAAGGCAAACTGGCCCCAAGCGAGGCGGAAGAGAAGGAGGGAGCGGATGGGAGCACAGCCTCGGGGAACTCAGAAGCTCCGGAGAACAGCAGCAGCTGCCGTCCCGAGAACATCATGGTGACCCATGTAAGGAGGCTCATAAGCCCAGCCAGGACGGGCTTCCCCAAGCCCCATCCGCACAGTGCCTGCTGCCCTTGGAGCTTGTCTGCCTGCGTCCAGGGCGAGTGGTTCAAGGCCCTGGGTCAGAACCCCCGTCTTGCCAAGGGGTGGCCAGAGCAGATGAGCCCATTTGTGGCACCTCTCTTGGCTTGCTCCTGGCACCTCCTGGCCAGGCGGGAGGTCTGTGTTGCTGGGTGGGTTCAGTGGGGTGTGAGGCCCTGGGCGAGAGCGGTGCTGAGCCCTTGGAGAAATTGAGCTCCAGGGGTCTTGGGGGTGGAGAAGCCCCTGGCTGCTGTGATGGGGCTCAGGGTGGGGGGCTAGCCCTAGTGCTGCCTCTGCTCTCAGGGATAGCCCTGATGTGCCTGTCCCTCCTCTCTTTCCTCCAGCTGTTCCAAAAGTGCTGCCTGGTCCAAAGGATACTGGATGCCTGGGAGAACAACGACAAAATGCAGTAAGGCTCCTTCCCCTCCTGCTGGGCTCTTGGCTCTGCATGTTCACCCAAAGAGCCCTTCCCCCAAGGCATTGGCAGTCCAGGGGGCAGCTGCCCTGCAGTGCAGGACAGGCCCAGAAGTGTCCGCACCAGCTGGCCACAGCCTCCTTAGCCGTAGGTGCTTGGGCTGGAGGGGGCCAGCAAGAAGGAGGCTGTGACATGCAAGGGGCCTTTGGTCACGGGCTGATCTCCGCCTGGTGAGGGTCCCTCAGGTGGGTGCCTCACCTCTACGAGGTTAGCGAGGCCTTCCTGACACCCCTCAGTTCCTAACTAATGTGTCAGTGTCGATTCTGCCCTGGCTTAAGAGTGGCTGTCCATTGTATCATAGACTAAGAGCAGGCCTAGGCAAACTTGGCCCTCCAGATGTTTTGGGACTACAACTCCCGTCATCCCTAGCTAACAGGACCAGTGGTCAGGGATGATGGGAGTTGTAGTCCCAAAACATCTGGAGGGCCGAGTTTGCCTAGGCCTGCTCTTCGAGTTGGAAGGGAACCCTAAGGGACATCTAGTCCAACCCCCTGCCCTGCAATACAGGAACCGCCGACCTTCCGATTGGCAAGCTCAAGAGGCTCAGTGGTTTCGACCACAGCTCTCTGTACCTTTGCCTTTTACAACGCAGAATCAGTAGGCGATGAGGGGTGTAGAAATGTGATAAGTACTAGTAATAAAATAATCTCGACTAAAACCTCACGGACTGGGCCATCCAACCTCTGCTTAAAAACTTCCAGGGAAGAAGAGCCCATTCCACAGTTGAAAGGCTCTCCTCTTTGGAAAATTCTTCCTGGTGCAGAAGTGTTTCTCGGGGGGGGGGGGCTGTTCCCTTCCTGGACTGGAGGTGCCCTTGGGAGTTCTGCACTCCAGGCAGGTGCTCTCTGCCCCCGAGCTGCTGCAGTCCTCCCAGCCCACGGGTGGCTCAGGCAGCAGCTGAGGAGAGACCTTCCCAATGTGGAGCCACTCCTCACGGTTTATTTTTCCAGGGCAGAAGGCGGAATGAGGCGAGGCAACATGGGTCACCTGACGCGGATTGCCAACGCAGTAGTGCAGAATACGGAGAAGGGCCCCGTCCAGACCCAGATCAGCGACTTTGTCCGAGGTAGAAGGAGCCTCTGGCGTCTCGAGCCCCTTCTCTTCGCAGAGCAGTCGGGCTGCTCCTCTGAGTGGGGGGTCTGGGGAGGGTGGCTCCCTCCCTCCCTCTAGGATCAGGGGTGCAGTCAGGGCGCCTGGGGGTGTCTGGAGAGGCCCCAGCGGCTTCCTGGCCCCAGAGCTGCCGCCTCCAGAACAGAGGGAGCCCGGCTGCTTCCTCCCTTCTGGGCGGCTGCAAGGCCTTGTCCCCCTTGGATGCTGAGGCTGAGGCCGTGGGCTGTGCCTGCACCCACAGACGCCTTTGTCCTGCTGGGTTTCAAACAGCCCCACACCCAATTTGGAGCAGTGTTTCCAACCCCTTTCTGGCTGAGGGCCAGCCTGATCAGGACGGTTGGCTCCTGCCCAAAGCTGCAAGTCCAACCCCCTGCAGTGCAAGAGCTGCAGCTCAGAGATCCCCCAACAAGCCTCTGCTTCGCAGCCTCCCTTGAAGGAGAGCCCTCCCTCTTCCCCTTCACATCCCCTTTCCGACAGGGGCTGCCTGGCCCCACTTTTCTCCTTGGTTTTGTTCCACTTCTTCCTCACCTGCCCTTTCGTCATCTGGGGCTCCTCCTGGGAGGGTTTTTCTCGTGAGCTGCTCTGCAAACCCTTCAGAGGTGAAGAATGAGACAGGGATGCGTGGAGGGGGGGAGGATTGTGGGGAAAGGATCCAGGTTCTCTTGGCTAAGGAGCTTCATGGGGTGACGGTCTGAGGAGCTGGTTGTGGCTGGCAGAAGGGCCCCCATCCGCCCCTCTTGGCAGAGGGCAGCCTCTGGGGTTTGGAGGAAGGCCGGTGGCTCCTGCTTTGCCCAGAGGGCAGAGGAGCCCTTGCCATGTGTAGCAAGCAGGGTGAGCAGGAATGAGGGGGCAGAGAGGCAGCAATGGGGCAGTGTCTGGGGGGAAGCACTTTGGGGTCCCTTTCTCCTGGCTCTGGTGGGGCGACGTGGTGACGTGCATTTACTTCTTGACTCCGCCATCCCCGTGACTTTAACACGAGGCCGAGCAGTGCTGTCATCTTGTCCTGGGGCCCCATCAGAGGGCTAGACAATGAGGGAGGGTCTCTGATAGTGGCCAGGCTGAGATTCCAGCCCCTTGTTGGCCAGGGACGCCCCACCCCACCCCACCCCCAGCAAGGAGCAGCACAGGGGTCTCCTCCACAGGCGGATCCCTAACCCAGGCCTGCCTCTCCTTTTCCTTTGCAGGGCTGCCTGAGGATTGCAGAGGACGGTGGGAGAGCTTTGTGGAGGAGACCTTGATGGAGGCCAACCGGAGGAATACGGTCGACTTGGTGAGATTGCCCTCCCCTCCCTCTGGAGCCTCTCTTTTGGGAGGGTTCCGAGGATACACTGAGCCGCCATGTGCGGGGCTCCCCAGCAGAGGAAGCTGGTTGTGCCCCTGCCAGCCTAGATGCTCACCTTGGTCCTCTCCTTCGCAGGTGAGCACGCACCACCTGCACTCCTCCAGCGAGGACGAGGACGCGGAGGGAGCCTTCCCCAACGAGCTCTCTCTCCAGCAGGTAGGCTTTCTCCCAGGATATCCTCGGGCTGTTGCTGTTACAGAGCTGTCCATTGGAGAGCCTGCTGCCGCCTGGCCAAGGGGGTTGGACCAGAAGACCCTCTGCGACCATTGGGCAGAGCTATCTCTGAGGGCTGCCCAAGAGAATTGCTTGGGCTTTGCAGCAAGTAGGTGTCCTCCAGCAGGCAGGCAGTGGAGGAGGCTCTCTCCCTGCTTACACCCAGGGGGGCCTGGGATGGTTCATATCATTGCTCTGTATTTGTTGCATTCGCACCCAAGGAGCACAGGGGGGCGTATGGGGCTCTCTGCCCCCAGGTAGGTTAGGCTGAAAGGGGGAGTGCCTGCGGTCGCCATCGTAGTTTCCTTTTCGGTGCTGGGTTGAAGTCTTTGTACCTGGCTCTGGCCTTGTCATGAGAATGTGATGCTGTTAGCATTTTTCTTCGGCATTTTATTTTATGGCTCCGCCGTGTTTCGTGAAGAGCAGCTTGAATAAGAATAATACAGTAACGTAATTATTAACAGCCACAAAATGCCACACACCCAGAGCATCCCAATACAGGGCTTGGGCCTTCAGATGTCTGTGGAAGAAGGAAGTCTAATTCTCTCTCTCTGACATCTGACGGGAGGGTGTTCCACAGGATGGGCGCCACTACCGAGAAGGCCCTACATAAACTGTGGCCCAAAGTGTGGCTTTTCCCACCTGGCAGGAAGCGCTTGGTCTTCCTCAGCCCAGGTGTTCCTCTGCAGCAGTCGCGGTGGCTGGGATTGGGACCGTCCTTGCACAGCATAAAAACCACCCCAACTTGCTCCAATCCAGCTGTTCAAAGAGGCAGAAGCAGCACAGACAAGGTTTCTGAGGAGCGCTAGAGCACCAGCCACTTGCCAGGCCCCAAAGCTCGCTTGCAAGGCGGGGTGGAGGAGGGCAAGGCAGGCCTCCCGTGGCAGGGAGTTCCACACCCTCCGTGGAGCTCCTCACCCTGTGTCCTGGTTAGAAGCCACTCTGGAGAGGGGGTCTGTGAGCATCTTGGCTCCAGCGAGGGGGGGGGCAGGCACTGAGCTTGAGCCTCCTCCTTCTGTTCAGCGGCCCTCTTTGAGGCCTGGCCAGCGCTAGTCACAAAGTGGCTGCCAAGCGCTGACTGGGGCAGGCAGGGGGCTCAGCGCCAGTGCTGTGTAGATGGTGCAATAGCTGTTCTCTCCCCTGCCAGGCCTTCTCGGAGTACCAGATCCAGCAAATGACGGCCAACTTTGTGGATCAGTTTGGCTTCAACGATGAAGAGTTTTCCGACCAGGATGACAACATCAAGTGAGTGCCCCCTCTGCCCCTTTGGTCTTCACCCCACGAGCAGGTCAGTCTCCCCGTCTGGGAAATGGAGCCGGGAGGCAGGGGGGCCTGAGGGAGGGGCTCCCCTCTCTGGCTGGGCAGGGCTTTCTCCGGGGGGGGGGGCCACAGGGAACCCTGTGAGGGAGTGCTTGGATCATTCGCTCAGCCCTTTGTTTTGCTGTTTGTGGATCCCCTTTTGTCCCCCAAATAGCCCCACTTGGAAAGGATGTTGTTCAGTGGGGGGGGGGGGAGGCTGCCTGCAGGAAAGGGAAGTGGAGGAGCAGGCAGCTGCAAGGACCAGTCAGAGCTGAAGAGCCCCTTCCCCTTTGGGAAGCTTCTTTGTGAATGAAGACCTGGGTGAGGGGAGCAGCTTTGGACGGAGACCCCTGCAGCCCCCCTTCTCTGCAAGTGCACGGGAAGGTTTGCTGGATGATAGTAATAACAATAATTTATTTATACCCCGCCCTCCCCTGCCACGACCGGGCTCAGGGCGGCTAACACCAAATATATGATACATTAAAACCACAATCAAACCAATGATTAAATTACAGCTTAAATCAGGATGAAATTAAATGGCAGCCCACAAATCACAACCATAGTGGTAGGGAACACCAAGTGTTCGCCAGGGCCAGCTATCCATGCTGGTCCCATATGAGCTGATAAAAAGACGTCCTCAATGCCCGGCCTTTTCCCCAAGGAGCTCAGGACAGGCTCTGTGGGGCCTCCCTCTGCCCTCCATCCTCACAAGAGCCAGGTCCGGTTGGCCAGCCCATCCCCTCTGAAGAGCAGCTTCCTTGCTTGGGGTCCTTGAGGTGGGAGCTGCTCTGGCCCCCTCCCAATGGGCTTCTTTCTCCCTCTTTTCCAGCGCACCTTTTGACAGGATTGCGGAGATCAACTTCCACATTGATGCCGACGATGACAGTGTAAGCAGCTGGGCTGGGTGTGTTTGGGCATCTCTGTCTGTGTCGGTTGGGGGAGCCACTTTGCGGCCGCTCTCTTGCGATCTGCCCTGCCCCCAGCGCTGTTCAGCACCTCCAATGAAGCCGCCAGGCCACGCTGCCGGGCGGCTGGGGCTGCAGTGCCACCAGCTTGCAGGCAACACACAGATCTCCCTCTCCTTGCCACCTCACGAGGAGTCTGCTTGTGCAACGCAGGGGGAATGCTCCCTGGGGAGGATGCTGTTCCCTGGCACTGCCTCTGTGAGGGCAGGAGGCCGTCTTGGCACAGAGCGGGGAGAGGATGCACAGCACCCCACAATGCCCTCCCTTTGCTCAGTTCACATGCTTCCGCACCAGAGACTTGGGGCAGCCGCTGGAGATTGACTTCATTTCTTCCCCACCTCTGGTGCCCCTGGTCACCATCTCTGTTTGGCGCCTTCCTGGACGCTTGGAGTGAGAGGCGCAGGCCCAGAGGTGGGTAGGCGATGGCAGCGGAGCTTCTCTGGAAGCCCCCTGAATCCTGACCCGCCGTCTCCCCCTTTACTGCAGCCCAACGCGTCCCTGTTTGAAGCCTGCTGCAGCGAACGAATCCAGCAGTTTGATGACAACGAGGAAGAGGAAGACATCTGGGAGGAGAAAGAAATCAGCTACACCGCCCAAGTCAAGTCCAGGACGCGGTAAGGGGGCTTTGCGCCTCTCCTTAGGTCTGTCCAAGGGGCAAGAGGATCATGGGGTTGTAGGGTTGGAAGGGGTCCCAGGGGTCATCTAGTCCAACCCCCCGTAAGGCAGGAGTCTCTACAGTGGTGCCCCGCAAGACGAATGCCTCGCAAGACGAAAAACTCGCTAGACGAAAGGGTTTTCCGTTTTTTGAGTCGTTCCGCAAGACGAATTTCCCTATGGGCTTGCTTTGCAAGACGAAACGTCTTGCGAGTTCTTGCGAGTTTGTTTCCTTTTTCTTAAAGCCGCTAAGCCGTTAATATCCGCTAAGCCGTTAATAGCCGCTAAGCCACTAATAGCCGTGCTTTGCAAGATGAAAAAACCGCAAGACGAAGAGACTCGCGGAACGGATTAATTTCGTCTTGCGAGGCACCACTGTACTACTAAAGCATCCATGACAGATCCAACCTCTGCCTAAAAACCTCCAGTAAATAGACTAAAAACAGGTTAAAATTCGCGTCAACTTTCTCAACCGAGGAGCTCACAGGATTATTCCTTCTGAAACAGGAAGTCCATGGCTCACCTGGGTGGCCTGGTTGGGCGGGGGGTCAGTTTAGAGGACCTTGAAGTGCCCCCCCCCAGGCGTCCTGAGAGTGTCGGAGTAGGGGGCTGATCCCAGAACTTGCAGCGGCCAGCCCTGCCTCCCGGGGGCCTCATGGCTGCCTTGCCTTCCATTCCTGCCTTCAGGTTTGGCATTTCCGGCACGTCGGAGGGATCCTCCAAAAGTGACCTGGAGAACGGAGGCCATGATGGCAGCCCAGAGTCTGGGGAGGAGGAGTCCGAACGGGCCGCTGTGCCACAGCCGTCCCCTCCTGCACACGCCGAGGGCAACGGCAGCCTCCCAGAGGACAGGGGGGCAGCAGAGCCCCCTCCTGAAGGTAAGGGGTCTCTGAAGGAGTGGGGGGGCTGCCAACAAGGGACCTCTGCACAGCAGGTCTTTCTGGTGGATTTGGAGGGGCTGGCCAGCTGGACGGCTGCCTGGCTGCAGCACCATCCCTTTGGAAATGAAGCACCCCAGGGTGCTCGGGGGGGGGGGGTGAGCTGGAGAGCCTGCTGGAAAGAAGGGAGCTGTGGGAGGAGCATCACTCCAGACCGAGGCAGGGCAGCCCCTCCCTCTTGGTCGCCCAGGCGGGTGCAGGAGTGCCTGACTCCACAAGACAAAAGCAGCTGCCCATGAGTGGCTCTCTCTGCTGGGCTGTGGGGCCACCTGGGCTTGGCCAAGAGCTGCTCCTGCGACCGGCGGCTTCCCTCATTTTCATGAATGAAAGGTTTCTGTGCTGCTTTTCCTTTTCCAAAAGAATTGCCAAGTGCCTTACACTGTAGTAAACAGTAGCAATTACTTCATTTGATAGTCAGGAATAAAAAGGCAGAAATCCTCACTAAAGCCTAGTAAAAACAAGGGTCAGGGGGCGCCCAACTGAGCAGGGTGGTCTTCATTTGGGGACAGAAGCACCCCACGGTGGGTGCCCACCTGATCTCCGCAGAGAGAGCATCCCACGGGGTGAGTGCCAGAGAAGGCCCTTTCCCCCTCCCCACTAGAGGGAGCTCTCTAGCAGTCAAGAGGGTCCCATCCCCAGCCTGCCCTGACCTGGGCGCTCCCCTGGCTAACCTGCTCCTGGGCAGTTCAGGGCTTTGCACACCAAGATGGGCGCTTTGAGTTTGTTTGGGCAGATAGGGCATCTTCCTTGGCCACAGGGTTTGCGGGCGTCCGAAGCCCCCCTGAGTACCCAAGCTGCAGCTTCCAAGACCACCCTGAGGACAGCCTGGCCTCGTACGATGTGTGACAGTCGCACAGCCATTCAGCAGGTGGTTGCCCTTGTAAATTGGATAATACGAGCCCTGGCCTTCTCCCCCGTCCCATGGCAATGGCCGTGGCTGCTCCTTGTCTGAATGCAGCTGCTGAGTCCCAGCTGATCCCCCCGTGTGGTTGTGATCTCCCCTCTCTGGCGGCTGAGCCAGGCTCCTCCGGGCAGTTGCCGGCCTGTAGCCACCTGGTGAAGGCTGGACTCAGAGGAACTGCTGACTGATTGCATCCCTGCAGGGTCTGGGTGGACGACTGCCTTTGAGCCGGTGAACGCCAAGGCCCCGCCAGCGTGTGTGGCCATGGATGTTGGATCCAGCGTGTGGGACTCTGCCACCCCAGACACAAAGACCCCGGAAGAGAGAGGCTGGGCCAAGTTCACAGACTTCCAGCCCTTTTGCTGGTGAGTGAGCCGCAGCCGTCCTCCGGGACACAGATGAGCATGCGGAGCGGAGAATGGAAAACGTGCCTGATCAGGTCAAAGGTCTGTCTCCTCCAGAGCTTGGCCTCTGTCCACAGTTGCCCCCCCCCTCCTTCCTTCCTTCCTTCCTTCCTTCCTTCCTGCCCTGGCCCGCCCTCACTTCCTGCTGGTACCCCCCACCCGGGCTTTAGGCAAGATCAAGGGTCGGCAAAATTTTCCAGCAGTGGGCCTGTCCACTGTTCCTCAGACCTTGTGGCGGGCTGGAGAAGTGGCACCGGGGGGGGGCTGGAAGAAGAGGCGGAGGGGGCAAGTAGTCCTCCTCCCCAGCCCCAGCCGCTGCCCTTACCTTCCCAGGGGCTGCTTCTGCTTCTCATGGGCAGGCAGAGCAAGCTCGTCCGCTCCGCTCTCTGTCCTACAGGAGCACCAGGGTGGTGACGGGAGGAAGAGGCAGCAGTGGCTCTGCCAATCAAACGCTGCGCCTGGTTTACCTCAGTGAGGCGTGGGGACATCTCTGCCAATCAAATGCCACTGGGGTAAACCAGGTGCAGGATTTGAGTGGCAGAGCTGCCGCCACTTGGCCTCTCCCGTCACTATCGCCAAAAGTCTCAGCTTAGTGGCAGCTTCCGGCTTCGCGTTGCGGGCCGGATTTCAGACCCAGGTGGGCCTGATCCGGCCTGGGGGCCTTAGTTTGCCGACCCCTTGGCAAGATCCTCTCGCACTGCAGCCCCGGTTCCAGCGCGAGAAACACCCCCCTTCAGCGCCTTTTCCCTTCCAGCTCGGAGGCCGGCCCCAGGTGCAGTTCCCCCGTGGACACGGAGAGCAGTGATTTGGAAGGGAAGCCCAAGCAAAGCCAGGACAAGAACGGTGAGTGCTTCCTTCCCCACTACCACCCCCACGTGGAAGGGGGCCAACAGTGGGCAGTTAGCCCCTTTTCTCCCCCCTCACACTCAACCACACTCCTGGAAGCCTTGCGCTCGCTCCCCCTTTCTTGGGGGAGGAGGAGGCTGTGTCAGGGCATTGCCTGGAGCTGGGGGGGGGCAACCGGTGGGGCTCATCTCCTGCGAGGGGGGGGCCGTTTGAGGCTGTGAGGGCAGCTCCCAGCCCTTTCCCTGTGGGTGAGTGACCAGGGGAGGGTGCCTGGCCGTTTCTCCGGCCTGCCCCTGTCCTTCCTCCCCATATCAAGAGGGGCACTTCACCCAGTCCAGCCAGCTGGTCCCTCAGGACATCACCCCCGTTTTTAAGATTGGGGTGTCCTGGGAGGCAGCAGAAAGCAGCAGCTCCCAGGCCGGATGGCAGAAGGCTTAGAGGGGCTTTGGGAGCAGAGGTTTCTCACAGGGTTGAAAGAATAACGAAGGAAGGAGAGATCAGACTCGAGCCCAAGCCAACAGTTCCTTGGGTTGCTTTGGGGGGCAGAGAGCCCCAGCCCTGCCCCTGTGAGGTGCAGCTTCCTCTCCAGAGCAGGGGCCAGAGTGCCCTCCATGGAGATGGCATTGCTGTAGTGCTGCTGGTCCTTCAGTCATCTGCAGAAATTTGAAGGCTTCCCAGCATGTCAGAGGGTGGGCCTCATCCTGGCAGAGCCTGGGCTTCTGCCGCTCAGAGTCCAGGCGTTCCCCTTCCACCAGAGTCTGTGCCTCGGAGGTCCTGCTGCCGCACGGCTTCTTTCTTGCGCCCCAGGAGAGCCCTGCCGGGTGGGCCTCACACGCTCTCTCCCCCTCCAGTCAGCGCTGCCTCTCCTTGCGTGTGGAACGTCTGCGTGGCACGGAAAGCGCCTCTGGTGGCCTCGGACAGCAGCTCCTCTGGCGGCTCGGACAGCGAGGAAGAGGAGGAGAAGGCGGCGGGTGTTGTCACGGAAACCATCAGCACGGGCTCAGGCCAGGAGACCATCAAGCTGACCATGGATGCCAAGAACGAGAAGGCGCTCTTTTCCAGGTGTGAGGGGGAAGCGGAGCAAAGGCCAGCGGGTGTGTGTGTGTGTGTGTGTGTGTGTGTGTGTGTGTGTGAAGGCCAGCCGGCTCTCTGGTTGCAGGTCTCGGGCAGGCAGTGGGCCGTCAGGGAGCGCCCACCTCCAGCAGCTTGGGTGGGCCCTGCTGGTGCTGCTGTGCAGAGACCCCCAGGTGGGCAGCCTCTTTCCGGAGGGGATGTGAGACCCAGCAGGGGCTGGAAAAGTCTTGTGGTGCTGGAGAGGCTGTGATGCGTCGCTTCCGCCCTTTCTCCCCAAAGGCAGTGCGCAGCTTGCGCCACCAAGCAGCGCTCTGGGCTGCAGGAGCCTCAGAGCAGTTGATGCTGTGCTGGTCCAGAGAGGAGGCGTGGAAAAGCCTCCCCTGCAAGAGCCCCCCCAAGAATAGCTCCCCTTCCCTGACGAAAGGCCTCTGGGACTCCTCTGACTCCCGCTCAGTTTCCCAGAAGCTCCTCAGAGGCTTCCCAGGTGGGCCGTTCCTGCCGTGAGGGGAAGCTGCGCAGCCAGGGGAGAGAAACCACAAATGGAGGCTTGTCTGATAATAACACCGAGTTCTCGTGGCCTGAGATTTTGTGGAGAAAAGTGCACTTTGTCAGTGCTGCCTTCAACACTATTTATACAGAAAGGAAATGGGAACACATGGCAGCAAAAAGGACGAAGTAGAGGCTGCTTACAGCTTAAGATCAGAAAAATGATCGTTTTCAGGAATTATGGAAGCAGGATCATCCCAGGGCCGCTCCGTGCTGAAAGCTAAACTGGCATCCTCCGCCTGCTGCTCCTGCGTGGAAGGAAGGGCGCTGCTGTCGGGGGACAGAATATGCCCCGTGGGCAAATGAGCCAGAGGCCAGCGTTCTCAGCTCTTGTGTGGTAGTGTTGCCTAGCCCCAACCCTGGGTGGACGAGGGGCAGAGTTGGCGTCTTGGTTTGTTGCCGGATCTGGCCCCTGCAGTTGTGGCTTGGCTCTTGCTGGTGAGGACGTGTCTGGGGGGGAGGTTGCCTGCAAGCAAGGTCAGCTCCAGGGCCCTAGGTGTGGGGCAGGGGCAGGTTTGGGGTTCAAATGCCTGGGAAAGGCTTGAGGTCGTTGTTGACACGCTGGTTTTTGCTGCAGGCGAGGAAAAGTGGCATTTGCTCAGCTTCTCTGGGTGCCTCCCTGGGTGCCAGGCAGCTTCATTGAGTCTCCTTTGTTGTCATTCCTTTGGGCTGTGTTTGCCTCCCTTGTGGCCTGTGAGGAGCAAGAGGGCAGGTGGAGGGAGGCTTCTGAGGGGGCACGACACCTGTTTCTTACCTGTTAAATTTGCTGTCAATGTTTCCATTCTTTCTGATGCTGAAATTCCTACTGCTCTCGCAAAGGGGGGTTGTAGATGAGCAGAGGAGTAACGCCCAACTCTTGAGGTCCAGCTTTGCTGCGCCTTGCCAGGAACTGGGGCTGTGAGCAGTGGGGCTGGGGTCGGGGCGCAGGACCCTCCGCAGGGGCCACAAGGCCAGCAGGGGACTTGGCACAGTGTGCTAGGTGTTGCCTGAGCCCTTTTCCAGGCGGTTGGCACCAGTGCATGAAGGGCGTCTTGCCAACAGGTGAGATTGCCCCGCCCCCCAGTCCTGGCCCAAGTGCCAGCCCTGCCCCCTTAGCTGACCCACAAAGGGGCCCCTGGTGAGTGGGGATGCAGGCTCAGAGAATGCCCTCTCAGTGGAGATGGGGAAGAGTCTCGCCATGTGCTGCCAGGCCAAAGGTGGAACCAGCCCCTCCTTCACAAGAGCTCCTTGTCGTGTTGAGATGGCGTGTGAAATGTGGGGAGGGTGTATGTGTGTGTTTGATTCATTTCAGGTGGCCCCTCCCCACCTGGACAACTGCTGTTATGGGGACCCTGAAGGGGGTCTGGGAGAGAGACTTCCGCTGTGGGGTTGGAGGGGGAAGGATCCTGCAGCCAGTCAGCAAATTTCTGTGGCAGCCCCCTCCCTCCCCCCTTCTATGTCTGCAGGAGATTCTACCAGTTGCTTCCCTGATCCCTTCCAGCAGGCTTCACCCAGGTGGGGTTTGGGGGGGGTCCATTCATGCAGTAGGACCTCCCCCTCTGGACTCCCTGCACCTGTTCTGGGGCTCGCTCTGACCTTCCAGCCTTGGCAGAGGGTGGGGGCGGAAGTCCGGTTGCCAGAGTGGGTCCCGTTCCCTTGCCACAGCCTAGTGGACTCCTGCCGGTGGCTTTCCTGGTTGGGGGCTGTGTCAGCCCCTCCGCTTCCTCTTCAGGGGGTGCTTTTGAGGTCTGGGACTGGCTGGAGAAGTCATTCTGAGAGCCCTAGTGGGGGGGGGGAAGGGGGGTTATGGGGCGGGCCAACTGAGTAAGCGAGGAGGGTGGGCTGGTTTTGCAGCCATTTTTATCTTTCTCCCTTTCTCTCTCTCTCTCTCTCTCTCTCTCTCTCTCTCTCTCTCTCTGTGTCCTTCTCTCTCTTTGTGGGTCTTGCTCAGAATAATAAGGCCTGGCGCTGGAGGGTATGTATCCTGGCCCCCACAGCAGGGTTCCAAACATCCACCGGACAATGCACTTCTCCTGTGCACCCAGCTAGCCAAGGGGGCTTTTCCCTCACAGGTGCCCCCCTCCCTCCCTGAGTTAGCAGCCTCTTCAGAAGTTCAATCTGCAAGGAGGAATTGCCCCTCTGAGAGGGAGAAGAGGCCTCTGCCCAGCCGCCCCAGGGACCCCCACCCCAGCTGCAGGGGCTGGAAGGGGGAGCCTCCAAGGTGTGGGTCCCCCAGGCAGGACCTGTCCCCCCTCCTCGGCAATGCTGGCTGGAAGCTGCCCTGTTGAGGGCGCTCTTTGCATAGGGAGTACATCACCCTGGAGAACAAGGCAACCTGGCAGCAGACAAATTAAAACCCCAACTTTTCAAAAATCCAAAAAGCAGCCTTTTTGTACCTGAGGTTGGAGTGGAAGGGGACCAGGCCTCCGGCTCAGCCAGCTTCTCCCTTGGTGGATGCAGGGAGCGTGTGAGATGGGCAGGATCCTGGGCCCGGCCCCCCAGCCCTGTAAGCCCCACAGCAAGGCTTCTCCCAGGAGCAGGAAGCGGCTCAGCGTGAGAGGAGCTTGCGGCTCTCCTGTGGCCGACGCACGTGACCCACCCCCCTCGGCCTTGGAGGAATCGCCCTGCAGAAGGGGGACCCTGATGGAGACTGATGTTTCTTGGTGTCAGTCCAGGTCTTGGCTGTGGGCTCCTGGCTGTGTTTCTGGCTTGGAGGCTGAGCTGTTTCCTGCGCGTTCTGAGCAGCCCCTGCTCCCTCCCCTCTTTATACATCTCTGCCTGAACCCCCATTGCTGCTGCTGCTGCTGCTTTCCTTGGCTGTCAGACTGAGGAACTGAATCAGGAGGCAGGCAGGGGCTGCCCTGCTCTGTCTAGATGGCAGCGGAATTGCGCCAGTAATGGGCTGAAAGGCTCCATCGCTGGCCAAGGGGCTGCTCTGAGCCTCCCTCTCCCTCCGGAAGAAAGGTGTGGGGCCCCCCTTGCACCCCTCGAGGCCTCTGCTCAGCTGCACTGCACCCCTTTTTGAGCAGAAGCTTGCCAGGGCCCTTGGCTGGGGCAGCAGGGATCCTCTGGCAGGGAGGAGTACAGGAGGGGGCCTGGCCGCTGGCCCCTCACAGCCTCCCCTTGGCTGCTGCAGGAAGTATTTGGCCCCAGCTTCTCCTTGGCCTGAGAGGAGTGGCGCTGCATTGACCCTGTGGATGTTTAGGGCTCTCCTGGGGGGGCGCTGCTTTCCATGGCTGCTCCTCATGGACCCCGCATGGCTTGGGGCTTCCTCCTTTCCCCCACACCCAAGCATGCCCCCCCCGCATGACGCCAGGTGCCCCCCCACCTGTCTGCCCGCCCCAGCCCTGCCATTAACTGAGCCTGCTTGCCAGAGCACCTTCCGCAGATCCTTTGCCCACTAACCCAGCTGGGAGGCCTCCCTCTGCAAGACCTGGCACTCCCAGCCCCACTGCAGTCTTCTTGAGCGGCTGGGCTCCGTTTCTCCTGCCACCCAGGAGCGGCTCCAGAGCCAGACGTGGCAGTGCAGAAGCTTCTCCATTGGGGTTTGGGAAAGCAGCTCTCACTGGGGACCTGTGTGGCTTGGCATGGCTGCTGTTTGCATCCAGGCTGTGTTCTCTGTGTGGCTTTTGGGGTGTATGCCCAGAGACTGCCCCCCCCTGTCTCTGCTGGAGCCTGAGGCTGTGTGTGTTTGGCATCTAGTATGGCTGAGGTGTTGCGGAGGCAGCTCCTCTCCGCCTCTTCCCCAGACAGATCAGTTTTTCCTGCTCCCCTTGCGGAGCGGGGATCCTTTACCTATTAATTTAGCAAGCAGTGTCAGGAAGACTGCTCAGGCCAGGATGGGAGCAAACCTTTTCTCGCCTCCACCTCCTGCCCGACCTTGGCCCTGAGAGCTTCCAGGGCACCTGCCAAGGGAATGGCCTGTTGGCCGCTCTCTAGTGAGCTGTGGCCTCCCGACGGCAGCAGCAGCAGCAGCAGCAGGAAGGCCATTTTGTTCCATCTTCCCTGAGGAAGGAGAGGCATCAGATGAAGCAGCTGCTCCTGTTGTCCTTCAGCTGGGCAGCGGCTGTGGCAAGCCTGAGGCAGCTAGAGCGTCACACGGGCACCACTCAGAGCCACTCGGGAGTCTTTCTCTTGCCCGTGGGCCTGCGGGGTGGGAGGCCATTGCTGCTCCTCTGGGCTGCCCCGTTGGGGACCCTTCCAAGGCTCTCCCTCCCAGAGGTGAGCAGGGGGAGGGAAGCCTCTTGCTGCAGGAGGGAGTTTCCTTTGGTGGAAGAATTAGGTTCTGGTTTCCAGCCAAGGGGGTGATGCAGCAGGAGGGAAGGGAAAGCAAAACCTGGCCCCCCGGCACAGCACTGGCAGCAGGCGGGGCCTGGGAGGAGGTGGCCCCATTCTCCCCCTCAGGGCTGAATGGCATTTACTCCTCAAAGCATCACTTTCTTTAAAGAAGTCTTTACCACGTACATTTTTATTCTGATATATATATATAGAGAGAGAGGTTTACCTAAAAACAATGGGTGGCATTCCGGCAGTGCTCAAAATTAGCCAGGCCCCAGGCACATTTTACTCCTGGCCATTGGCCACTTGCGACCAAGTGAAGATGCCTGGGTGCCAGAATGGCGCCTGTCGTCTCCACCGTCTTGGGATCCCTGGATCTGGACTGTTTTCACACACTAAGACCCCATCCTGTAGAATTCTATCAGTTATATTTTATCTGCACAATCAGAATGAATGTCAGGAACCAAAAAGCCATATTGAAAAATGCCACTTTTGAAGCATCTGGTACAAACATGACAACTAGGCACCCCATTTTGGCGACTAACCCCGGTGTGAGGAGCCATTTGGTGCCCGGCTTATATATCTGAGTTTCCAGCACTGTATTCAGGTAAGACCTGTTGAAATCAGTGAAACTGCCTGGGCTCTGTTCCTTGATTTACGTGGGCCTTCTCTGAATGCCACCCGGCAGAAATGCTGCAACATTCAAGACGGTGTTCTGAAAACTAGAGCAAAGTGAGATACAAACAAAACACAAAAATAGCCCTCTCTCCCCATTAATCTGAGCTGCCTGCATCTCCTTGCAAGGCCACCTGCTGCCTCTGCCTCTCCCATCTCCCCCTCAGGTGGGGCATCCCAGGGAGGTGGGTGCTGCCCCCCAAGAGCAGGAGGAAGAGGGGGCGGTCTGCCTTCTGCCTTGTCACCTGCGGACCATCTGCTGCCCCCCTTGCCAGGGGCTCCCTTGGTGCAAGGCAGGCAGAAAGCGGCATAGGGCACAGCTTGGCAGGTGGAGAGCCCCCACCCCCTGCTGTTCTGACCTTCTGGCCCAGGCACTTTTTGGGCGGGGGGGACGGACGACTCAGGTCTCCTTGTGAGTTGGTGCAACGCAGGCAGGGGGGTGGGAATCAAGTTCTGCCTGCTTGAAGGCTTCCCTCTCAGTCCCGCCTTGGGGAGCAACTTCCACTGCTGCCAGTCCTGGTGTGGTGCTGGGTGAAGGAAGCGGGGAGTTCTGGGGGGGGGCATCTGCTCCAGACCCCCGCTTAGAAAATAGCAGCACTTCAGAGGCGCCCCCCCCCCGGAAGCTTTCCTCCTTGCTCTCTTCAGCCTTAAACTAGGGCAGGTTGAAGCAGTCCTGTCAGAATGGTGCTGCTGGGTCTCTGTGCTGGCGGCCGGGGCTCCTGCCCTATTGTTTCTGGCTTGGGGTCTGCAAGTGGGGGGCAGAGCTGCTGAGCACGTTGGGGGGCTGGTGGGGCAGAGCTCCTCACGAGTGCAGGATAGGGCAGCCCTGAGGTGGCAGCAGCTGCCCCAAGCACTGCTTTGCATCAAGGTTTTGACCAGGGGCTCAGAAAGTGGGAAGAGCCACCCAGAGGATTGGGGGTTGGGGGGGTTTCAAATGCCAGGAAGGGGGGCAGGGGGGGCAGGATGGGCCAGAGCAGAGGAGAGGGTGGGATCCTGCCTTAGTGCGCTCCTTCCAATCCCCAATGCCTCAGGAGGAGCCTCAGCTGGTGTTGAGCATCTCTGGCTTCTGTGGGAGGGCAGGCAGGCCTCCCCCCCTGTGTGGAGACCCTGAGCCCCCTCAAAACCCCCCTTTCAGCCCAGGGCAGGCTTGCGTGTGGGGTCTGGACATGCCTTCTGTGGGGAGTAGGGGTGTGTGTGTGTGTGTGTGTGTGTGTATGCAGTTCTACCTGATGGAGCCCTGATGAGTTTGGAACTCCAACCCTGCCTGGGACTGGGATTTGGAGGCCCCCTTTCAGGTCTTCTGTTCTGGCAGGCGGTTGGGCCTCTCCCCCCCCCCTCGGGGAGCGGTGTTGCTGGGTGTTTGGCCCTTGGCGGCTGGTGCAGCGTCAGGGTCTGCTTCCTCCCAGGAGGGACCCCCTTGGGGGCTGTTTAATGTGAGCTTCCGTTCTCTCCCTACAGCGTGGGGGGCTCCCAGGTCGCGGACAGGCCACCCAGCACCGTGGAGAGTGGACCCCCCCAGCCCTTGAGCAGCAGCAGTAGCAGCAGCACTGCCGCCGCCGCCAGCCTGCCGCCGGAGGGCCTCCTGCCGGGTTCTCCTGCCCCTGCTGCTGCTGGCGCCACCCCAGAGGCCAAGAGAGACAGGTGAGGGGGGGGGGTGCTGGCCGCTGTGCCGTCCAGGGTGGGGGGTGCTGTGGAGAGCCTGCCAGCCTGGGGTGTTGTGTCAATTCTACATTCTCTACCAGATTAATCAACCGTTCAGATATTCCAGCTTCATGGGAGCTTTCTCAGCAGAGGCGGTGAGGCTGCCTGCCAGGCATTGCAGGGGGTGGGATGGGTGACCCTCAGGGGTCCCTTCCAACTCTACAATCTTAGGATTCTGTGGGGAGAAGCTGCTCCCACCCCCCACAAGATGCTCTGGCTGGGCAGATGAAGGGGGCCTGGTTCGAGTCCCTGCTGAGGCAGGCTGCCCCCCTCCTGGCCCTGGGCCCCACCTCCCTGGCAGGTGTCCAATCCAGCCAGGCCCTCCGGGGCAGAGTGCGTGCCGTGGGCATCCTTTGGCGAAGCTTCTCCGTGCCCAGGCAGCCAGCCCCTCACGCCTCCCCCTCTCGCCCTCTCTGCAGGAAAGAGGAGCCGCTGCCGGGAGGAGAGCCCACCTTGAACGGTCCGGCCTGACAGACTGCCTGGGCCCAGGCGGTGGGGACGCAGCTGGCCCTCCTTCGGACAAGCTAACTTAATTTTGAATCACAAATGCTGCGTTGTCGAGAGGACTGGCGCTGGAGAGCCGAGGTGCCGCGTCGGGGTGGCCACCCTGTTCCGAGAGGAGGTCCTCCCTGGGCGGATGACATGTAGCATTGGCCAGGGGCCGCCCGGGTGTCCTGCCGCCTCCTCCTGCCCCGCAGCACCCCTGGCGCACTCTCTGGGGAGGGCGTCCTGCCCCCCCTTGTCTTCTTGCTTCCAGGACCCAGCTTCTCTTCTGGAGGGCAAACGCTGCTCCGTGGACTCTGGCCTGGCAGGGCTGGCGCTGGACGGCCTGGGACAGCCTTTTGTATAGCAATAATGCCTTACCGGAAGCGCTGGCTGGCGAGAGGAGGCAGGAGGGTCCGGAGGCAGCGGCCGGAAGGCAGCGTCGTCTTGCCACACTGTTTTTCTTACTGTTTCAGGGAAGGAGGCCCTGGGAACCTCTGCTCAGCCTTGTCCGCTCTCCTTCCGGAGGCGCCACACCAGCCCCTGGGATTGGGGCCGCTGGCGCTGGGCTCCGGGGGAGGGAGCAGCCTCCCCACAGAAGGAACTGGGGCTGGGCATCTCCGGAGGGTCAGACAGGCTCCTGGAAGAGGGTCGGTTTCCCCGGGATGGGCTCCGCTCTGACTTGGTTTTGTTTTGTAATGTTCTTAATGGATGCAGGAATTGCAACACTTTGCACTTTGAATCTTGCCAGCTTTGGAGGTTGGAGGCGGCAGCTCCCCTCTGGCTGGGCTCCTGTTGCTGCTGCCGAGGGGAGAGAGAGGCTTGGCCCAATGGCTGCTCTTGCCCGGGGGGGGGGGTTCTTCCTCCTCCCAGCCATGGCAGAAGCTGGCGCCTGGCTGTGCCCTGGGAGGGGACTTAGGAACCGCCTTCAGCCAGGGGGCAGCTGGGGGGGGCAGCCACTCTCCATATATCTTCAGTGGCCGCTTGCGCGTTGCCAGCAACAGCTGAGCTGGAAATTCAGGCACTGGGGAGTCCCTGGGACTGACGAAAGCAGCTTCTAGGCTGATTTAAAGGTCTGGCTCTGCCGTCGTTCGGGTGGATCTCTCCCCTCAAAAGAAACCCCAAGAAACCACCACCAATTTCCTTTTGGAAATACTCTCTGTAAAATGTTGGACTGTGACGCTCCCTTATTCTGCACATTGTTAAATATTCTTATTGCGGCCAAGGGCGGCTTCCTCCTGCTTCTTCAGCCCCTCTAATTGGGGCTTCTGTGACGTCAGGGCACCTGGGCCATCATCTCCTGGGGGGAAAGAGTTGTGGGAGGGGGCACCTCCCCTCCCCATGTAGCTCAGCCTTTCCATCTGGGGGTCAATCAAATGCTGTTGGATTCCCTTTCTCTAAAAACCAGGCTGTGGCTACATGGGAAATCCTGGGAGGTGTCCTGGTCTCCTCTTCTCAAAAAGGATTGAGGAATAGGTATTGTAAATGGGGCCCCAAACCGAGTCCTTTTGGGGGGGGGGTCTGCCCCTGAAGAGGGAGGCGATTCCATCTAGCAATTGTGGCCAAGCCCAGATTAGCAAGAGGCCTCTGTGCCTTTGCTGCTGCCCCTGCTGCTGCCTTTAGAGGAGAATGGGGGGGGGTCTAGCGCCCCACCAGGAGTCAGCATGGCCAGTGCTCATCCAGGGGGTCAGATGTGGCCCAGCACAGACTCCCTGCCTGCAGGGAGGGCTTCAACCGGGGGGGGGGGGTTGCGGCTCAGAAGACGTGACTGGAGGCCATTATTCTGGCCTTTTAGTGGGTGCAGCTTCTCTGGAGTCTGGGGACTGACTCCCCCCCCCCTTTGCTCTTGGGCTGCTTTGCTTTTTGCTGCTGCCCCCACTTTCCTTGTGGAATGAGGGCTACAGGGAGGGACAGGGTTGGGTTCTGCCCCCCTCCCCCTAGATCCGGGCGGCCCAACTCTTCATCCCAAGGGGGCCACAAGAGTACTTCAACGTGGAACCTGTGGGACGCACACTGCCTTGTCGCTTGCGGTGGGGGAAGCGAGGCCAAAATTTGAGGGGGGGGGGCAATCACTTTTGCTGCCTTCCCAATTCCAGCTGAGCCAGGCAACAGGCTTTGGGGAGGAGGCATGAGGCTCTGGCAGGGTCCTAGTGCGCTCCCCCCTCCCTCCCAAAGCGGAGAACGCACTAAGGGGGCTTGGGGGGGAGGGCGAGGACTCTAGGACCCTGTCAGAGCCCCATGCTGCTTTCCCAAAGCCCATCACCTCACCTGGCTTTGGGAAGGCGCATGAGGGCCACCAAAACAGGCCTTGAGGGCCGCATGCCTTGGACCATCCTGCCCTAGAGTGCTGCTCTCGTGTGCCAGGTTTGGGGCTGAAAAGTCAAGCTGAGCAAAGTTTCCCCTGCGAGGGAGACTTTGGGAAGGGGTCTCCTGAGCCAGGCCTGGGCCCCTGTGGCATCTCCCTTGCCAGTCCGAGGGCCTCCTACCCAAAGCACCCTCTGCCAGCAAGGGATGGGGCGTTTGAGCCCCGGGGTGTTGGTGCGGTGGGGCAGCAGCAGCACCCAGCCTGGTTCTAGTAGCTTTGCCTGGCGGTTGATTGGAGAGCAACAGGGCCAGAGGTCAAGGCTGGTCCCTGGGCCTTGCTCTCCCCATTGAGATGCACCTGTAGGGCTCACAGAACAAGGCATCCCTCAGCACCTGTGCAGCCAGGGGGTGTGGGGGGTGTAGAGTGGCAGGGGCCACGCTGGCCTGGGAGGAGCCGGCTGGCCCCTGAACGCTCCCCTCCCACAGGGCAGCCCATTTTCTTCCTCCATTAATAGTGCCCCCCCCTCACACAGCAAGGCCAGGGCTGTAAAGAGTCACATGCCTTTTGCCCAGCACTGAATACTTGTGGCGTCCAGCATGTTCCAAATGTCCTTTGAGCAGAAACTCACATGGTGGATTGAAGCTGGAGAAGGAGGTGGGCAGAGGCAGTAAGAAAGAGACACTCAGAGCATGAGCAGAGAGCCAGACCAAGGCACACCCATCATCAGTGGTCGGCTTGGTGGCGGCGGGGAATCTCTCATCTTAAGTTCTGGACGTGACTTCAGTTTGCAGTTGCAGCAGCAAGCAGTTGCCTGGTAGGTTGACAGCTTCCTGAGTTGGAAGGGACCCACAGGGGTCATCTAGTCCAGCCCCCCACAATGCAGGAATCACAGCTAAAGCATCTGACAGGCGGCCACCCAACCTCTGCTTTCAAACCTCCAAGGAAGCACAGCCGGGGGGGACTTCTGCTGTTTTCCCTGCGCATGAACTGCCTTGCCGTGAACCCCATGGAAGGTCAGACTTCCCCCCTGAGGATTGGCGGCATCTCCGAGCCCCGCTGCCTGGGGGCAGCAGAAGGGTCTTGCTCCGAGACCTTTTCCTCCGGGGCAGGAAATCCTGTTGGTGTTTGTTCTGCCTTCCCTGCCCATCTGCTCTCTCGAGCTCCCTGTGGCTTCTCCAAGAACTTCCACTCTGTGTTTACTTCCACTCTGTGACCTCCTTTGCCCACAGCCCTGCTCTGGAGGGGGGGCTCGTTGTCTTCAAGGGCACAGGGATCAGGCTGGGAGGAGTCGGCCCATCTTCCTGCACCCAGCCCGCCTCGCAAGGTGAGCGGTGGGCAGCCCGGCTCTGCCTGGAGGTCTGGGCAGGGGGCGACTGGGGGGTGCAGGGCCTGGGCTGCTAAGGGGGGAGAGCTTAGAATCACGGCTGCTGAGCAAGACAACCCACCACCTCCGCCCTGTAGCCATGGCCACTTCCTCAACTGCCAAATTTAAACCCACCTTTTCATGGTCCTAATCCACAGATTTGCAGCTGGAGCTATCACGACAGGATCTGTTGCAACTTTTTACAAAAGCAGTCTATAAAACGAAATGAAATGTCTTCTGCCTGAAGTCTTCTTTCTTCGCTGTCCTGTTTATTGTTCCGCCAGTTCAAGCTTTGGGGTCTGCCGGCCTTGGCTGCAGCGGCTCAGCCAAGGCGATGTCTCTGGAGGGTCTTTCACCCCAGCTCAGCCGGAGCTGCTTGGTCCATCTTGCCTCTCTGCTGGAAGAGAGGGGGGTGGGGACATTGCAGCCCCTCAGGGAAACCGTGCCGCCCCTCCCTCCCTCCCTCCCTCCCTTGTGGATTTAGTCCCCACTTGGAGAGTGGAAACAGAAGCAGAATGAACATTTCATGGAAAAGGGCCAGCCCACATGCCAGCCTCCGACTCCCCCTCTAATCTCCATCCAGGGTCGCACTCCCAGGGCTTGCTTTGCCCTTCCCACCCCCACCCCCCCAGTGTTGTGCCACTTCACCAGCTGGCTTCCCCGGTGTTTGGTGCCCCGTGGTTGGAGGGCAAAGAAGGCCGCTCCCCCCCCCCTCATGTCCACTGAGGCAGGGGAAAGTTTTCTGAGAGGAAGCCTCCAGCCGAGCAGAAAAGCTCCCAAGAGGATGCGGAAAGGATTTTTTTGAGGAGTATCACTTTCAAATTTAAAACAATTATTTGTATCAGAAGCTAGGGAGACCATGTGGCTGTCCCCCTTTTTTGTCAGGAGCAGCCTTTGCGGCAATGTCCTGCCCTTTCCTCTTGAGAGGCAGCAGTTGCCTGAGGCCTCCCTGGGAAGCAGAATCCCTCAGGTTGGCTGTGAGTCTCTGAGATGCCTTGCTGGAAGGCAGGAGAGAGGAGTATTGGTGTGTTTTGTTTTAAGTATAGCCCGTTTTTTACCATGTAGGTCTGAAAGTTGGCGTCTTGTCTCAGGAGACAATGGAGGAGGGCCTTTGGAGGTGAAGTCAAACCTGGAGGGTAGCAGCACCTGCTGTGGCTGGAGAGACCGACTTGGGAGAGATGTTTAGTTGCAGCCGGGGCAGATGAAGGCAGCCGCTTGTGCTGCACATGGGCATTTCTTGTCTCTGCACTTGTCCCAGTCTGGAAGTGGCATACAAATATATAAAACACAAGCAATTTTTTGGAAGGAAGGCCGCCTTGATAGTGGCAGCTGCCCTGTGGAACACCCTCCAGTCAGATGTTGGGGAAAGAAACAACTCTACAGCTTGTAAAAGACGGCTGAAGGCAGCCCTAGATGGGGAAGTTTATAATGTCTCAGTGTGTTGGGAGCTGCCCAGAGTGACTGGGTACAAATATTGTTATTATCCTGTGCTAAGTTAAGCGCTTTACAAAGGAAGGCTTAACCATGACAGTCAAGCCAGCTGGGCAATTTGCAGCTGCTGGTGTTCTGGGGCCGGTCGAGGCTGCGCTCTTGGCCCTGGAGGCACCCCAGCACGCCGCTGGGACCACCGAGGCTCCCCGGACCCTCCAGCCGTTTGGGGTCAAGGGAGGCGAGGAGCCGGGGGTGCAGCGGAGTCAGGCAAGCTGCAAGCGCTGCGTCTTCTCCTGCCAGGCAGTTTTTACAGCAGGACAGGGACAGGAAGGGTGGACAAGGTGCCCTTGATGACCCTTGAGGGCCCCTTGGGCTGCCTGACGTCAGCCATCCTGGGCCAGGGAGGCAGCTGACAAGGAAGTCTTGTCTCCCTCCCCCCCCCCCCAGCTCTGGGGGCAAAGCGGAGTGCGGCACCTGGGCTTTCTCCCCAAAGGGGGGCACCATGGCGAGGTGTCCTAGTGCTGGTCTCTTTCCAGGAGCCACAAGGGCCCCATGCAAAAATCGCGGGTTGCTTTAGTAACTGGCCCTTCCTTGAGGGACCTTCATGGTCCTGCTAGGTTCCTCCATCAGAGTGGAAAAGAAAAGAGAAGGCAATCGGGCATATAAAAAGACAAGGCAGGTTCTTACGTCTCGGATCATTTTTTAAGCAAAGAAAGGAGAAACATACACCCCCCCCAAAAACAAAAAGTGTTCTGCTTTTTTAAGTTTTATATTTCCTGTGCAGCAGTAATAAATCACACTCCACAAATGTCAGTAGATCGTATACAAACATCAGTGATGCACCACAAAATTAGGAGTGATAGGTTAAGCAACATTTTATCAATCAAGGCATCCTGTGAAAAACAGGCCTCACACATTTTGAACAAGATTTAGATCACCTGCTGGGAGTCTGAGGGTCCTGCTCCTGCCTCCCCCCCCCCCCAGGCCTAGGACAGGGCCTGACAGACTACAAAAGGACTGCTCTTGCCCAGCGGAGAGTACTGTTTACATTCTTTCAAACTGCTTTTAATGCTTTTTGTTTTGTTATTAACTGTTTTTATGTGTTTTATTTCTGGGGAGGGGGGTATTTGGCTGTTTCTGTTTATATTTTATGTATTTTGTGTTTTTATATTGTGATTTTATCTTGTGAACCGCCCTGAGACCTGTGGGTATAGAGCGGTATATAAATAAAATTAAATAAATTTGGCAAAATGACACTTCCAGTGATTAACAGATTTAACACATTCTATTCATTGGAGCATCTAGGCCAACGTAAGAAGATAGCTCATCAATCACGCTTACTGAGACCCATTGTTTTAGAGAAACCCTGCCTTACCTGGACAGATTATTGCCTATGCGGCATCACGCTCCAATGATATGGTAGCCATGGTTTTCAGCCGTTCCTGACATTTGGCCGCTGTTGCATGCTGACAGCTTCTTGGAGCCACCGATGAGCTGAGTGCAAGCGGGGGGGGGGGCATTGGTAGACAAACTACCCTGGAGGAGCACAACATCTATGCTGGCTTGATCATGCCCACAGAATGGAGGCTAGCAGGATCCCCAAGGACATGCTCTAAGGGGAACTGCCTTCCAGCACCAGGCCCATTAGCAGACCACCTCTGCAACAAAAAGATGTCTGCAAACGTGATATGAAGGCTGGCAACATCAACCCCACCATGTGAGAATCCCTTGCAGGCGGGCACAGCGCCTGGAGACAGGCAGGCAGGTCGTGAGTCCATAGTAGAATGACCCCTGGGAGGAGCAGAGAAGAAATGCCACGGTGCGGGGGCCTTCCTCTGCCCCAGCTGCAGCTAAACCAGCCTCTCCCACATCAGTCTCTACAGCCACAGCAGGTGCTGCAACCGCCCAGCAATTTGACTTCACTCCCAAAGGTGCATTCCTCTATTTTCCCAAGACAGATGCCAACAAAGTTTCCCAGAATCCCAATGGATATGGGTGATTATTGTAATTAATCATAATAAAGCATTCCAAAACCATTTTATAGAGTATTTTATTTATAAATATACAATTTCCTTAAGAGTTAATTTATCACTTCTGGGCGTAAGAGGAAGTCTCCATACCCTGCTGTGTAAGTTGCTACATTTTGACCTTTGACGGCTTCATTCAGGAACTAGTGCATTTGCCTGCTTTGCTCTCTCTGGCCACTGGAGGGACTGGCACAACTTTGACAGCAGAGCTTTTGACAGCTTGACTGGCATTTGCAGAATGCGAGTCTCTTGAAAGGGTCCTTTGCAGAGAGCTATGGATGCCTTTATGGCGTGTTGTGCTTATGATAGGACACTTGTGAAACATGCGCAGCAGCCTCCCCTCCTCCTCCAGACCCAGGAGGGGCCATGGCTGGAGGCACCAAGGGAAATGAGGGGCACCTGCCCAGCCGGGCTTGAGCCAAGCGTCTCTCCCAACCCCCCAAAAAACATCCTTTAGGCACTTGCTTTTTTTCTGCCTTCCTTTTGCTGCTGCATCTGTGAATGGAGCTGTTTGAGAGAGGCAGGACCTGTGATTCGATGTTTGTGTTCAAATGTGAGTCACGTCCACTCCAGCATCTCACAAATCCCATCCAGGACACCCACCTTTTCTCACAGGAAGGCTCAGTGCCTGAGCACCCACATCACCAGATGCTGCCGAATTGGGCTCAGTTCCAGGTGGAGGGGCGCCATAAGGTGGTAGCCAAGCCCCTCCTTTGCACACAGAGGGTTCCCCCAGCTCAGTCCCCAGGAGCCTCTCCCTCTGCCTGTGAGAAGGCAGCAATGGAAAGGCCCACCTCTTCCCCAGGACCCCCCTCCCCCAGCCACTGCCAGCAGAGTGGACAATACTGAGTCACATGTTTAGCCTGAAGAGACCAAGAGATGAGAGCAATCTCCATATTAGTGGAAGGAGTCAATGGAAGATGGAGGAAGTGCCAGAGGGAAGATCAGAAACAAAGGATTCAGGTGACAAGAAAGGAGATTCTGGTAAAACAACAGGAAGAACTTATTTATATCCTATGTTTTTATCCTGACAAGGACTCAGTGGCTGTGGTAACAAAAGTGCAAACATGTGTTTGTGTATTAAATTTTGTTTAATACATATTTTAAATCTATTAATTGTATATTTACTTGTATAGATTCAATTAAATATATTATTTGTGCAGTTTAACTATATTGCAAACACTTTTAATTTATGATATGGAAATTTAATTCCATCATGTGGCCCATGGGGTCAGTGTCCAGGTACCCTTGCAGTCTACTTGGTCTGAGAAGTTGGACCACCCTGGTCTATGTTATTCAGGGCTTTGGACACTAAGTGTGCAAGAACTTGACCCGCTAGCAGATGGGAAGCCCCATCTCAGGTTGTTGGCGTTCTCCTCACTGAGCAGCCAAAGCATTCTGCACCAGCTAAAGCATCTGGGTCAGGGCCAAGGGCAGCCCCATACAGAGCATGCAGCAGTAATCCAGTCCTGAGGTTAACAGTGCATGAACTATAGTGGTCAACTGTTATTAAGGAATGGCTGATAAAAAGCACACCTTGCCAAAGAGGCCACCTAAGTCTCCCGTGACAATGAGTCAAGGACATAGCTGCTCCTTCAGGGCAGCCAGCTGGCCTGTCTCCCGCATCCAAGCACCCCCCAACCACAGTCCCGCAAGCCTCTGTCCGCCAAGGCTTCAGTCTCAGCTGACCGGCTCTCATCCAGTCCAACTGTGCATCCAGGAACTGGTCCTGGTCTTTCCCAGCCTTTACTAAATCAGATGTAATGGGGAAACAGAGCTGGGCAGCACCAGCACACTGAGGACCCCTTCCCCCCAAACGCCTTACAGCTTCATCTAGGCAAGAGGTTCCCTCTGAAAGCCTCCGAGAGAGGGAGCAGGTGAGGCAGGGTGGCTCTGGCGCCTCTTTCCTGCTAAAGGTCCTCCATCAGGCAATGCTGGCCAACTCAGTCCCCAAACCAGCTCTGACACCAGATGGAAATGAATTGAGATAATCCATCTGCTCCAGAAACGCCTGAAGTTGCTCCACCGCCTTAATCCAAACATGGTGTGTTAGCAACTGCGTCAGGGTTGGCAGCTTAAGGAGAAGCTCCAACTTCTTTCAAGATAGCAGGCAGCCCCCCGCCCTGCCAAGGAGCGTTGATGCCGCCCTGAACGCAACCAGTCCCTCCCCCCGCCCCCCAGCTGGCTTTCCTCTGCCAGGACAAGCCTCCTGCTTCAAGTGCTGCATGAGACGCACAACAATCAACATGTTGTGTATTTCTTTTTTATTATTAAATTCCATTAGTTTTTTTTCTCTCCATATATTTTTTCCTCTAGGCACAATACAATACAAGAACTCTGCAGGTTTGACACAATGTACAGAAACTTCAGTAATCTACAACTGCTCAAGGAAGTTACAAAACCCTCCGATGCACACCAGCCACAGCCTTTATTGTACAAATAAAAAAGGGGGGGGAGGCAAAGGGTCAGCTGGGGCTCCAGACTATGTACAACGCTTCAGGGACAGGAAAGGGTGCCCCTTTGCCTTTGAAAATGTGGGGGGCGGGGGCTGCCAGGCCAAACTGGAGCTCCAGGGAAGGAGGCCCTGCCTGCTCTGGCAGGAAAGCAGGCTGCATGATCTGCTTGGGGGGGGGTCAGTGCAGGACACACAATTGGAGGGGCAGTTGCAGGTGCTGAGCTGCCCCCAGCAGCCAGACTCACAACCCTCTGCAAGGAAGACACAGAGGGAACCAAGAGCTGGGAGTGCAGCAAGACACTCGCCCCCCCCCCCCCTTCGCTTGGCGCTTCTCCCCAGGACAGAGTCCCTTTCCAACTGCAGCCTCAGCAGTACCAGGGGAGCTTGTGGTTTGCACGGGGAGGCAAGGAGGGTCAGAATCGCCACCCCACTCCTCTGCCCCAGTGTCCCAGGGGCTCCAAACCTCCAAGCCGGGACAGGGGCGCTGGAAGCCCTAACACTGTTTCTGCTCTCTCCCGCTGCTCCAGCAGGTCGCCAAACTCCCCACCGCTGCCTTCCCTGGCAGGGGGCACCCCTGGGCAGCCGGTGTGGGGCTAGGGGGGTGGAAGCAAGGCGGTTTGGCACATCTGCCACCGCCTGTGGTTGCCGATGGGGGGAAACTGACGGTGGCCAGAGCCATCTGCTTGGGGGGCCCTGCTGACCACGTCACTCCCCCCAACCTGACCTGCCAATGCATCTCTTAGGCAGAGGGAGCAGGCGGATCCCAACTCCTCTGCCAAGCAGTCGGATGGGGGTCCCAAGGGGGCCTCTACTCTGTGCCCCACAGCACCTCTTCCAGTCCTGCCCGGTCCTGGTCCAGCCCTGGCGCCGGCTTCACTTGCGGAGGCCTAGAAGGGCGGCCTCAGGGCAGCCTCAGGCGTCAGACAAGCAGCTCTGGATGCGGTCGATCCACTGCTGGGCCAGCTGCACATCCTGGGCGCAGAAATAGTAAACACGCTTCGTGGTCTTCACCTGCGAGGGGAGAAGGGTGAGCGGAAAGGTCTGCCTCTGGGACACCAGCCAGCCTTCCTCCCTCCCCCCTTGGGCAGCCATGGGGAGAAGCCACTCACGTCAAAGAAAGCCTTCTCCTCCACCATCTTGGGGGCCCCCATGGTGGGGGTGCCTGGTGTGATCGACTCCACCTCCGCCAGGTCAATGACGCCTTTGCACTCCAAGTCCAGGCGGCTGTCGTAATAGCGCAGCTGCAAGGAAGGAGGGCCGAAGGTCAGAGCCCCCCAGGAGAAGGTCCCCTCCCCATTCCCCTCGCCCGCCTGCAACCACCCACCTGGTGCTTGGTTTTATCCAGCACAAACCAGCGAGGCTTCCAGGGCTTCATGAAGGCTCCTTTCTTGTACAGTGTCCCCTCGTAGGACCTGCGGAGGACAGAGGGGGTCAGCGGGGGAAGAGGGGCAAGCAGAGACCAAGACCCCCTGCCTCCCTCTGCCAGCCCCCCAACGGCCGGGTCCCGCACCGATTCTCACTCTCCGCCGTCTGGAACTGGCTGTAGAGGGTGCTGGTGCTCCTGCGGCCCCCCTGCTTCCCGCTGGAGGGGGTGGAGGCGCTGCTGCTGTCGTTGTCCAGGCTCAGGTTGATGGTGGAGCTGCCGCGGCCACTCTCCTGCAGGTAGACCCCGAAGGAGCGCCGCTGGTGCGACAGGCTGGAGGCCATCAGCAGGGAGCCAGCCGCCACCTGGGGGCAAAGGAAGCTCCTTCCGTCAGAGGAGGGCTCTGCGCAGGGCGGGCAAAGATCCCCAGCCCCTCAGCCCCCCAGCCCAGAGCCCTTACTCGGCCGCTGGGGTCCGCCTGCACCTCCGACCGCTGAGAGGCCTTCGCTTTGTCCCAGAGGTCCTTCCAGCGCTCAGGGACCTGCCCCAGCTCCATCTCCAGGTTCTGCAGCTCCTGCAAGAGACAGAGAAGGGGCAGTTGGGGAGCAAGGGCAAAGGGGTTCCTACGGCATCAAGAGCAGCAGGGGAAAATGGACGACAGCTGCATGTTCTCAAGCTCACCTCTACAGCCACAAAGGCAGGAAACCTGCCTTGAAGAAAACAAGATTCCCAGCTTTGAGTCCAGGTGGCCAAGAAACGGCGCTGGCCGTGAAGGACCAAGAAGGGGAAGAGTCCAGAACCAAAGCGGGCCCAGTTGCCCTTGTCCTAACTGCTCCCGCCTCTGCTTCTCGCCCAAGGCCCCCACTGACCTCCAGCAGCCGGGAGATGGCGTCTGGCTCAGTGCGGCTGCGGTTGTCATAGCAGGGCCAGACGATCTTGCGCCGGCTCTGGGGGGCGCTGGTGTCTGGCTGGGCGGCCTCCTCCACAGGGTCCGCCTGGCTCTGCACCAGCTCCCAGTCGTAGGAGGGTCCTTCCGACAGGGTCTCCTGCGTGTAGTAGTCCCACACCTTCAGGTTCGAGACGTTGCTGTACGGGCGCAAAACCTAACGGAAGGAAAGAGCCGGAGAGTCACCGCCCCAAAGGCCACGCCTGGCACCCACCAGCGGCACCCAAGGCAGGACCCCCAGCAGGGAAGCCTTTGATAGGGCGGCTGGTGGGCCCCAGCACCCCCCAGCCGGGCCCCGCTGCCCCCGACCCACGGCTGCTCACCTCCCCGTCCTCCGGGGCATACATGTAGTTGAAGAAGGCCGGCGTCTTCTTGTTCAGCCGATCCAGGTAGTCCCAAATGGAGCGAAAGAGCTGGGGCCCCTTGCGCTCCCCTTTCTCTTCGTACAGCAGCCCTGCCAAGGAAGCACAGCCTTTGGCTCCTGCCACTGTCTCAGGGGCCACAAGGGCCCCCCCTCCCCAGGCCCCGGGGGCTCCTTACCCAGCTCCAGCCGCTCGTAGTCGGAGTCCAGCAGGAAAGTGCGGAAGCGGCTGGAGACCGAGTGGTAGCTGAGGAACTTCAGGTAGTACTGGCTGAACTCAAACTCCATGGGGAACTGCAGGTGGATCTGTGGGGGGAGAGGCAGCAGGAGTGTGGGGGGGCAGGAAGAGGCCGCAGAGCCCCTCCTCCCAGGGGATGCCCCCTTGGAAGCATTTCTGGGGGGTGACCAGCACACCTCCCCCCAGGGACAAGGAGGGCTGGGGCGGCCCTCCTCCCCCAGGGGCTTGGCCTGCTCTCCTCACCTGATGCACGCAGTCCAGGAACTGCAAGAAGATGGGCGTGAAGCCGCTGCTCTGGCTGGCCAAGGTCTGTGCCCCTCGGTGGCTGAAGCGGTGCCCAAAGGAGAGCCACTCCTTCTCCACCAGCAGCCGGAAGCCCTCCATGGTGCGGTAATAGGGGTCGGACAGGAGCTGCACCAGAGACACCACCTGGGGGGCAGAGGGGGGGTCACGGCCGGCCTCCAGGGCAAGTGCTGGGGGGGGGAGGGAAGGAGGCTGACCTGGGTGGTGATGTCCCAGCCGTCCTCCAGGCTGACCAGCACAGAAGAGCCCGTGTCCAGCAGCTCCACCACCAGCACAGAGATCTGCAGGATCTTGTGAATCTGTGGAGGAAAGCAGGATCCCAGAATGTGGGGGAGGCAGCGTACCTGGAGCAAACCTTCAAAGGTGCGCAGCAAGTGCCAACCTCTCCCTGACCTGCAATGGGACAAGTCTTTCACAGAAGCTCCTGCAGACCCACCTCAGAAACCCCCAGAGCCTTCCTGGCAGCTGAAACGCCACACTCCGCTTTCTGCTTGTGCAACACTCAGCCTCCCTGCCACTCCGCTGGGAAATATATACCTTCCATATACCTTGACCTTTTTTGGGGTGGGGGGTCCTTTTAATTTGCTGCTCTTTTAACAATTTTACTAAACTCCTGAGTTTGCTAAGCCGCTCCAGTTCTGCCTCACAGGAAACCTGGAACCTGCCCCCTGCCTGCCTGGCCAAGGGAGGGGCTCCTGGGCTGCGGACGGACAACATGGTTCCTGTGACGGAAACGAGACTCGGCAGCCAGGGCCTTCTTGCAGCTCCAGGGCCTGGCGACCGGAACGCGGAGTTTCTGCCTGCCACATCTTTGCTGACCTCAGAAACGGACGGACGAGCAGCGAGGACTTTGTTCCTTACCTGGCGAATCTCAAAGGCCTCCTCCCCCCCCCCAAGTCCTCCTCTGCCTTGACCTCTCTGGAGTCTTTGGGGCCAGGAGGCCGGAGAGAAGAGCCTCCTCCCTCGAGCGTCCGGCTGGCCACTGACCTGGATCAGCCACTCGGACTCCTCCAGGGAGCGCAGGTAGGTCTGGCCGGGCTCGGCGGAGGGGCTGCCCGGCACACAGGCCTTCATCAGCTTCTTGAAGCTGGTCTTGACTTGCCGGGCCTCAAAGACCTCGATGGGCACCACCTCCCAGTGCTGCAAAGGGTCCGGCTTCACGCCCTGGATGGAGCAAGAGACGCCATCAGGAAGGGGCCCCACAGCCCCCCTTCCCAGCCCCTGCCCCTCTGCTGGGCACCCAAGAGAACCGTACCCGGAGCTGGGACTTGTCTCCGATGATGTAGAGGGAGGCGCGATGCTGGCGCAGGAAGCTGGCCTCGGAGGGGGACCCGTTGGCTTGCGTGCTCAGCAGCTCCTTGCCGGCCAGGCGGGAGCCGACCTCCATGTTGAGAGCATAGCTGCTCATGCGCCCGCTGGCGCGGATGCTGCCCCACTTGCCTGCAAGGGAGGGGGCGTCAGGTGGCGCCTGAGACTCCGCTCTCTCCTGCAGGCTGACCCTGGAGCCTGCTGCCCCCTCCCAGCCGGAGCTCTAGGCCAGGGAAGACGGCCCCAGCCACACCCACCCAGGGCGGGCTGCATTGGAGACGGGCGCAGCGCCCCGGCCGGCCCTTCCTTACCTAGGAGGGGCCGAGAGGCAGGCCAAGCCAGGCGGAAGAGCATGCTGTGAGGCTGCGGAAGGGTTAGCACAGAGGGTGGGTTAGACTGCCTGCCTGCCTGCCTGGGGGGTGGGCACCAGTGGGGCGAGTTAGCAGTGTGAATGCCACGTCCCTGAGGTTAGTGCCCGTACAGTACCTCGGGGGGAGAGGTGTCCCTTTGATGCCAGGCTCTTGGGGCTGGAGAGGGTAATGAGCCTACCTCTGTGACCTAGGGCTGAGAGAGGACAGGACGGAGAGGCATCTCAGCGAGGGGGGGTGGGGGAAGAGAGGCAGCAGCGACGGATGGCAGACGGACGTTTGTCCCCAACGGAGAGGGCAAGACAGATGGGCAGACAAGATGGAGAGATGGAGGGAGGCAGCCAGAGGCGGCGGCTGTGAGCAACAGCCCTGGGGTGACCAGGCCCCCTTCCCCCCGCTGGCTGCCTGGAGAAGGCCCGGCCCAGCCCCCCCGGAGCCAGACGGCCCTTCCGTGGCTACTCTACGGGGGCCGCACGCAGCATCTCACCTCCGCGGCTAAGCGGCCCTTCGTCCTTCCCTCCCATCACCTGCTTCATAAGAGATCCCAGCTTGGGCTGCCGCTTCTCAGAAGAATCTGTAGCACCAACAGAAGGTGGACGTTCCACACCCAAGAAAAGCAAGGCAGCCCCGGAGCTGCAAGGCCTCTTCTCTCCCTGGGGCGTCCCCACCCAAAATCCGGCAGGGACCGGGGGGGGGGCACTGGCCCCTCCCACAACGTGCCCAATGGCCTCTCCCAGCTCAGCCAGAATTCAGCTCTGGCCTGTCCTGAGGCTGACGCTCCCAGCAGAGCCAAGGGCTGCTTGGCTCCAGAGGGCCGGCTGGGGCTCTTCTCTCCAGGATGGCTCAGACAGACGACAAATGGAGGGGGGGGGCTGATAGGATGGCAAGGGCCCTCGCTGATCCACCAGCAAGGATGGTGTGGAGGCGACACAACAGCTGCACATGGAGAAGACTCACCTGGGCCTGTGGCCCCATGGCCTGGTGGTCGAGGGGAAGCTCTCTCCCGACCTGCGCGCCCAGGACCCCACCTCTGAGCCCAGGGCAGCCTCCCCCCTCCCCCAGGCCCTCACCTGCGCTGCTCATGTGGGCCGAGGTGAAGCCGCTGAGCGTGTTGCGGCCGCCGCTGTCGGCGTAGTGAGGCATGGAGTTGATGACGGCCTGCAGGTACTTCTCTTGCTCCAGGCTGGTGGAGTCGGCCTGAGAGGGGCCTGCAAGGAGCAGCGGGGAAGGGGTCATCCTCGGGGTCTCCTCGGGAGGAGGGAGGCCAGGCGGGGAGGGGGGAGGCCGCTGTACCTGTGGCAGGAGCGTTCTGGGACTTGAAGAGGCCGGCCACGCCCTTCCCATGCAGCCCCCCTGAGCGCAGGAGGACTGCCTTGGTGCGCGAGTTCCGCCAGCAGACCACCGGGAAGCGGTTCTGGCGGTAGCAGCGCGAGATCCGCTGGATGGCGTTGTCTTGGATGCTCTGTGGGACAATGAGCAGCCCAGGGTAGCTGCAGGGGAGAGAGAGAGGGATGGATGGAAGGAAGGAAGGAAGGAAGGAAGGAAGTTATTGTTATTATTTTAAAGAGGAAGAGGGGCTGCTGCAGTCCACCAAAACACTTCTGTGCAACCTTCTGGGTGGTGATCTCCCAGTCGAGAAGCTCTGGGTCAGGACCCCCCACCCCAGAAAGCGCCGTGCTGCCATTTCAAGAGGCAAAAGGGCATTTGCAGCCCCACTTCCCCCCACCAAAGGCAGACGGTGCCACAGTTGAGAGAAGACCAGGAAATGGTGGTGCTGAGGAAACAGGGCCTGGGCAGAAAATGTTTCCCTGCAGAGAAGGCCTGTTCGCTGGTCACCATCATGTAGCCTCTGGATTGGGGCCTCAGAGTGCAGTCAGAGGGATCAGGCAGGTGGCCAGAGAGCCTTTCATTCCAGGCAAGGGAGGCCCAGCAGAGCCCAGCCCCCAAGGCAGGACCAGAGCCAACATTTTCCAGACCCACCCACCCCTTTTCATGACTGCACTGCAAAAACCCCAGCTAGAGACCCAGAGAGCCTGGGCTGCCCCTGAGCCCCCCTCCTCAAGAAGGGGGGGAAGGGAGGGGGCAGAGCATCCCCAGCTGCAGGAAGAACCTTGGGCCTTGGCATCCAGTCTGTGAATCCCCCTTGTCAGAACCTGCCCAACTTGCTCCTTGAGGCTGACAGATGGACAGACTCTGAGCGACTGAGTAGCACAAGGTGCCCTGTCCTTCTGTCCTTCTCTCCGTCCATCGCCCACCATCTTGGTGGCCCAGAGACGCTGCTCCTCACCTCCTCCTGATCCCGTGGCCAGACTCTGAATCCCAGCTCTCCCCTCAGCTGCCTTCTGGGGAGCCTCGCCTGCCGTGTCTGGCAAGGGCCCCCCATGGAGACCTCCCTGTGCCCTGCCTACGTTCTGGGTGTCCCCCTCTCCACCCCGCCAGGCGCCCTGGCTCACCTCCGGCAGATGGCGTACATGCGGTTGACGGTGGAGATGCGGAAGGGCTCGTTCTTGGAGCGGGTCAGGCTGTTGCTGAGTGTCCCCAGGCCCAGGCGCTGGTAGTCCCGGCAACAGGCGCGCTCCACCAGGTGGCTCATGGTCATCTTGTCCGAAGGCCGGGTGGTGGTGGACGGGGTCAAGGTGCTGCGGTCCACGTCTTCGGACACTGCAGGCAGCCAGGCAGGGTTGGGCAAAGTTCAGGAAGAGGACCCCCCCCTCCCCCCAGGCAAAGACCGTCCCTACCTGAGATCTCGTCCTCGTTGTCCTCCAGGAAGTGCTGCTGGTTGCCCCGGGCCTCCCAGGGAGGCGGCGTGTACTTCTTGCGCGTCACATACTGGCGGCCGATCGTTCTCTTGGCGTTCTTCACCAGGTTCCTGGAGATGGTCCTAAAGCAGGGAGAGGGCGAGAGCAGCCAGGGAGCTCAAGCGCAGGCTTGGCGGGGGTGCAAGAGAAACCCCTTCAGGGCATCCCCCCACCCCTGGCCCAGCCGGCAGCACTGGCAGCAGGAGAAGAGCAAGGCGGGGCAGCTGGGGGTGAGGGGCAAGGAGACAGGAGAGGGTGAAGAGGCCAGGAGAAAGGGCAGCGTGGCCCCAGCAGGCAAGGTGGGCAGCTGGGTGTGGCAGACGGAAGCTGCTCCTTTCAGTCCTAACCAGACTGGGGAGAGCCACATGGGGGCAATGTCCCCCTGGACCCTCAACCGCCTTCGGAGAAGCAGAAGCCAAAAAGGGCCCCCAAGAGTTGGAGAGGACGGGGGGCTGGCTGTGTGGGGTGGCAACAGGAACAGCCGGGAGGGAGGGAGGAGTCTCTGGGGCCCGGCTGCAGCCCCTGCTCGGTGCCCTGCTGCCTCCTCCTGCGGCTCAGGGGCCCCACGTGCCCCAAGGAAACAACACCCACCAGCAGAGCTTGCAGCATTCTGCCCCCAGCTGGGCACTGGGCACAAAAAAGGAGGGGGGGTTCATCCCAGAGCCGAGCGAGACCCTCGCATGGACTGCAGGCAGGAGCTCTCACCAGACCCAGCCTGAAGCCAAGAGGCCCTATAGGGAGTCTCCCTCCCCCAGCCCTGAGCTCGCACCTGAGTGAGGGGTTCTTCTCCTTGACTTTGGGCTGCAGGGCTGCCTTGCTCAGGTGGCCCACGGTGAAGGCAAAGGTGTCGGAGGCCTGCTGGGGGTAGCGCAGCTTATTGAGATGCTTCCGGAAGGTCTCTGCGCTCTCAGAGGCCACCTCCTCATCAAAGGCAATGCGCAGCAACTGTGGGCCAAGGCAAGGCGGGGTCAGGGCTGGCAGAACTGGGCCAAGCTGACCCCAGCTCAGAGCACGGCTGCCCTCCTCTGGGGAGGGGGTCCCAGGTGCCTCCCCCCCACCCCCAAGGGCTCACCTGGAATGTGCAGGAGCGCAGCTGGAGCTGAGCGCAGCCCTCCGTGATGAACTGGTCCGCCTGGGCCTGGACCGTGATCTTCTCCTCTTTGGTCAGGGAAGCGATGGGGAAGGAGCGGACCACCACCTGCTCCCCGACTGGGGAGGAGCCGAGAAAGAGGCAGCGTCAGCCCAGGGGGCTCAAACACAGCTGGGTGCCTCTGCTGCCAGAAGGGAGCTCAGCAAGCCCCCCAAGGAGGAGGAGGAGGAGGAGCAGAGAGCTCCCCCCCTCCCCAGAATAATATCCCGCCCGTCCGGCTCTCACCTAGTGGATCTGTCGGGGTGCCCTTGAAGATGACGCGGTAGGTGGTGAGGAAAATGGCCCCTTCGGCTGGAAGCAGGGGGGGTCCCCCCCCAGCCCCCCCAGATGCCTCTTCCCTTCCGTCCGGCATGAGGTAGACGCGCAGCCCCTCCATCACGCTCTCTTCGCCCATCAGCAGGCTGGGCCGGAGCAGCTTGGGCTGCAAGAAGCCAAGGGGATGGAGTCAGGGAGGGAGTCCCCCTGCCCTGACCCTGAGTCACAGCTCCTGAGTGGAACAGCCCCTCCCCACACTTCCTTCTCGCTCAAGACCCCCATGGGGGGGGGCCACCCTCACCTTCTGTATCGGGGGGAGCCTCTTGCTTTCCCTCTGCACGGCATCCAGGGTCTCAATGTGCATCTGGACAATGTCTGGGGGGAGGGAGGAGGGAGGTCACAGGTGGAAGAGAGAGGAGACCCCGCGATGCCGCCTCCCCCCGCTGGCCACACTCGGCTCCCAAGGGTGGGGCGCAGAGCACCTACCGGGGATCATGACATGCAGCCCCTTGAGGTGCTCGTTGGTGACGCCGCTCTCAGTGCAGACCTTGTCCACAAAGCGGTTGATGAAGCGCACCACGTAGTTGGCCACGTCGGAGCTCTCTGCGTCCTCAAAGCCGCTCTCCGTGTCGTAGCTGTCGGCCACGCTTCCTGCGATGCTGGCGAGGCAGAAGGGAGGCTGAGCTCCTCTGGGGCCAGGACGCCCTCTCCGCGGCCGGGACGCCCCCTCTCCCCCTCCCGGTGCCCAGCCAAGCCCTGCAGGCTACCTGTTGGTGATGAAGCTGTTGCTGACGCTCTCGGCATCGCCCAGGCCGGAGCCGCGCAGGAGCCGGTTCTTGCTGGTGTCTAGGGGCAGGAGCAGGTAGCTCATGCGGTTGGCGTAGTGAATGGCCTGGCTGAAGACCGTGCTCTCCTCCTTCTGGATCAGCTCCTGCTGCTTCTCCCGGCTCACGGTCGGCCACAGGCGACATTGCTCGGCCGCAATCTCCAGGGCCGACTTCTCCTCTTGCGGCGGCCCTTCCTCACTTGCCTGGGAGGGGGACCAGAAAAGCATTGTCCACAGCATGTGGGACACATCCACCCCCTGCCCCAAGCCCCCTTCCCCTCGGCTTCTTTCCTCACCTTCTCCACGTGGTTCTCCCCCTCGTCCTCGATCCCCTCCAGGTACAGAGCCCGGATGTGGTTCTGCACGTCAGAGTAGAACATGGCCTCCCAGAACTGGATGTTGGTCCACACCAGGTGCTCCTGCACACAGCTGTAGGCAAACTGGGTGATCCCTGGGCTCAGTTTCTGGGGTGGGAAGAAGAGGAGGCAGCCTGCGTAAAGGCCACAAGCTCTCCGCCATGCCCAGGTGGGAACCGATGCCGGCCTCACCAGCCCAGCCTGGCTCCCCGCCCCCCCAAGATGCCATCTGGACCCGAGGGAGCCCTCTCCCCGCCAGGCCCTGCGCGCCCAAGGGCTACTCACGCGGCAGAAGGCAGTCACCAAGGGCAAGAGGGCAGCCGCCACCCCGTGTTCGTCTGAAGCGCTGCAGTCCTGAGGTGGACAGGAGGGGAAGTCAGCATGGGACCCCCGAGAGCCCAGAGCCTGAGCCCCCCAGGCCCGGCCGCTCCCTCCCTGAGCCCCAGCCCACCTGCAAGCAGCAGTTCATCATGCGGACGATGAAGTCAAACTGCTGGTGGTCCAGCACAGCCCGGTTCTGCTGCACGTGGAGGTTCAGCTCTTGGGTCAGGCAGTGGCGGGCAGCCCGGCTCTTCATGGCACGGAGGACGGCCGGGAGGAGCTGCAAGGCGGCAAGAGCAGCGCTGAGGTGGGGGCCAAAGGGGCAAAGCCAGCCCACCCTGCGCTGCCCAGGGACCTTCTGAACACACACACAGTACCAACCCCCCCAGAGCAAGGCTCCAAATCGTCCATACAAGGAAGCCGAGAGACGGAGAGGGAGGGGCTGGCTTTTCATTTCCCACCAACTGCAAGGGGAGGCCTGGCAGCACACGGAGGCGCCCAAGGGAAACCTGCCAGTCAGTGGAGAAGCAGCAGCGGCAGCTGCTTTGCCTCCAAACAATCTCCAATGTAAGTGGGCAGAAGGAGAGGGCCAGAAGAGCTGGATTCTGCTCCTTGGCAGTCCCCTCTTGGGGACAGGGGCTGAAAGGCTCCCAGGAGCTCACCTTCTTGGCCTCCAGCATCTTGCTCTCAAAGACGTAGGAGATGCAGTTCCTGACCACCTCCAGCCGGCGGGCGCTGTTGGCCAAGATGATGCCATTGCGGTCCATGATGGCCCCTGGGGGGAGAAGGAAGATGCTCATCAGGCCAGGAGGAGGCGTCGGCCCCTTCCCTGCTGCATCTTGGACACACCCTGCATGGGGGGGGGGCAGGAAGAGGAGCCTCCGCAGGCCAACGGACAGCACCACAGTGCTCTGCAAGGAGGGTCAGCAGGGTGGGGCCCAAAGCGCAGGCCTATTAGGCTGCCATGACCTCCTCCGGGGATCCCAAGCACGGGTCCTTTGGGAGTCCTGGCTGAAGATGCTCCAAGTCAGAGACACAGGGAGCACCCCCAGGGCGCCCAGAGAGAGGGTCCGCTGGCACTGCTGCTCCTGACCACTCTCCAAGGAGCAGACAAGCGTGTCCAGGGACCCACGCAGCCCACAAGACTTCCCTGCCCACAGCACCACCTAGAGGCAGGGGCCAGACTCTGCGCGCTCCACATACCCAGGGGGGGGCCAGACGGCACCATGCACTTCTTCTCTGCCTTGACTAAGGGGGGAGCCGTTTGCAGCTTGGCTGTTGCCTGGTCAACGATCCACTGGATGGTGCCCTCATCCAGGCGAGGAAAAGGCCGCTGGTGCAGGCGCAGGTGGCAGCCTTCTGTGGGCTTCTGCACTTTGTGCATCGTCACAGCAGGATACGGGTTCTCCTGGGCAAGCCAAGCCAGGGAGGGGGGTAAGCAAGGAGGCTCTGAAGGAGGCCCTGCCTCCCGGGCTCAACCGCAGAGCCTCCATCCAGCCCGGCTGAAGGGCAGGGAGCAGCAGCACAGCCCTGCTCAGCTGCCGTGGGGGAGAAGAGGGGCTGCTGGATGGGGCAGGAAGGGATTCCCACAAAGTCTGTGGTGCCAGCTGGCCCCCTGCTCCACTGTGTGCCAGGGACGAAGGGACAGAATTACCCCAAGCTGGGGGCATCATCCGCACACACAACACCCACGTACGTTTTTGTACAGGTGCTCTGCCAGTTCCTTGATGTGGCGCAGCACCCTGGCCCGGCTCCCTTCGTCCGCCTGCATCCGCTTCGCCTCATTGGCCACCAGCTAAGAGAGAGGAAGGGCAGGGGGAGAGGGGGACGGGGTGACTGGACCACCCCGCAGGCCCAGGCCTTGTGGCCCCGGAGGGCCTGGGGGGAGATCTCCTCCAGCCGCCACTCCTCACCTCGTCAAACAGGTCAATGTCTCGGTAGGGGGGCCCCCTCTCCGTCACAAAGCCAGCGAAGGCCATGCCCTCCAGTACCTTGGGGAGGAAGTCGTCTTCCACCAGCCCCCTCTGCCCCAGGAAGGCTGCCTAGACCGAGGGAGAGGAAGAGGCACTTGTGGGTCTTGCGGAGGAATCGCTTCCTGGGAAGCATCTCAGAGCCACTTCACAAGGCAATCAGAACACAGGCAGAACAGCTGCTCATCTCAAAAGCCATTTCAAATCCAGGAGAAACACTGACTGAAAGAGGATCTTCCACATGTGCCCAAAGGCAACAGGGATGGTCTGCAGAGCAGGCCGGCTGCCTAGGACCGACCTCATGGCGCTTGTCCACACTCCGGAAAGACAAGGCTTGCCAGCCTGGCGTGCAGAGTGGAAGCAGCAGGCTTCCTGAAGGGGGGCTCCTGCTCTCTGTGGACCCTCGCAAAGAGACCCTTGCCTCTGGTTTGGACTCCTGAGCCACTGGGCTCCTGTGACTTGTCTTTGGTTTTAGGCTGTTCTTCATGTTGTGCAGCCCACCCCAGAAGCTGAAACCCCCCATCCCAACCCTCCTCCGCCCTCGCCTTGGCTACCTTGTGAAAGCGAATGACTGGCTCCGGGTGGATGCGGATGATGTGCAGGCACCAGCGGTAGCCCTGGAGCAGCTGTGCAAATAAGCGGAGGAAGACGGCCCGGATCTCCTTGTCCTGCAGCCCAAGACGGAGGAAGGGGAAAGGGTCAAGCAGGGAGCGCTGGATGAGGAGGGCAGCTCCTGCCAGAGGACGGGGGGGGGCTCTGCAGCACCCACTGTTGCCCCTCCAAAACAGGTCTCACGCCTTCCCCTGGCTGGCTGTGCCCGTCTGGGGCAGTGAAGGGGCTCTGCAGTCCCCACCCGTAAGAAGACAAGAAGAGCCTGCTGCTGCTGCTGGGTACATCTAGTCCAGCATCCTGTTTCAGAGGGGCTGACCAGAACCCTAGGAGGGAGTCTGCTGCACACGGTCTCAAATGGCTCTCATGGCTCTGTGGGGGCTGATTGCCAGCTCCAGTGCTCTCTGTGCCTTGAGGCCACTGGGAACTTCTCTGAGGAGGAGCCAGGCCAAGCCAGGTGCTTCCCCCCCCCCCAGCAGCTTGCACCACTTACCTGCATCTTGAGGGAGGATGCAGAGATGGTGGGCGATGGGGGGAAGGCCAGGTCTGCAATCTCCAACTCTGGGTCCAAGACCTGCAGAGAGAAACAAGGGCAAGGATGCCCCGCTCAGCTGGGAAGGGGCTCCTCAGCCTCCAGCCACACACCCCTCCTTCCCCGGGGCCCCCACTTGCAAGCCCAAGAGCAGAAGCGCTCCTTCTCTCTCTCCCTATTACTTGGAGAATCAGTTCCCAGGCTTCATGACAGATGGTCATCTCTCATGGATGCTTGACCCTCGGGATCCTTTCCAACTCTCTGATTCTGTGTAAATCATACGGACACACCCCGTTTTTACAAATAATGTGGGGGGAAACACCACTCCATGGAGAAAACCAGAAGGGTTCCACTTTACCTTTTCCCCCCAGCAACCAGATTCTCACTTTTCCATTCCATTATTTATCATTAATAATATTCCTTGCATGAGCCTCCACTCAGATGGAGAGTTCATCCCCTGACGAGTCCTTGGCCTCTTGGCCTTGTGGGTTCAGGATGCAGCCCCCTTGAAGCACCAAACGCCACTTGGCGGTGCCAGATTCCCACATGACCACCTGCCATGGATCTCTGTCACTGACCCCCCCCCCGGCTGCCTACTGGCCATGAAACCCAAGGCGGAGGGTCTTCAGGCCTCTTGTGAGGAGCCAAGGGGCGGCACTCACCATGGACAGGGCTTCCCGCGTCTGATGGAGAAGCGGCTCAGGCAGCAGAGAGATATGGATGCACTCGGGAACAGTCACCGTTCCACCATCCAGGTCAGCGATGATCACATCCAGCTGGGAAAAGTCAGGGAGCAATGGCAGAGTCCAGAAGGGGCAAAGAGGGAAAGGACACAGGCCAGGCTGCCAAGAGACCCCTTTGGCCGCAGCCCAGTTTTCCCCCCCCCCGCCCCCCGGGGCACCAGGGAGGGAGGAGTTGGGGGTCTGAGGGGGCTCCTTTGGGAGGAGAATCTGTTTCTGACCCCCCAGACAAACCCACCTGTCACCCCAGGAGAGGAAACTCTCTTTGAGCGAGGGGAGAGAGAGAAGGGGAAGTTCCCAAGAGAAGAACAGGGAATGGGATGACAGCCCTGCTCCTGAAAACGCCCCTGGCAAGCCTGGCCTCCGCTTTCCCACAGAGTCCTCCTTCAGGGACTCACCAGCTCCTGTGTCTCTGCCTGGAAGATGGAGCTCACGCCAATTATGAAAGGGGTTGGGGTGGTGAGGACCTCCAAGAGCTGAGCGGGCAGGATGGGCACGTACGTGAAGCTGGAACCAAGAAAGCACCAATGCAGGCCGGCAGACGTGGCAACGAAAGGCACCCTCTCCAGGGAGCCCCCTCCCCTCCCCCACCCTCCTTGCAGGTGAGCCAGCGGCTGCTCCCGGTGCCCGCAGCTCCCTGCGCTCACCTGTACTTCAGGGGGAAGAGGAGGGCCAGCAGGGCCCGGCAGGCGTCCGTCAGCCTCTGGTAACTGCTGGAGAGAAACAGGATCTTGTGCTCTGTGAGGGCCGCGCAGAAGAGGCACAGCACATTGGTGATCCCTAGAAGGGAACGAAGGAAGGAAGGAAGGAGTTGGAGAGGCCCCTCCCAGCTGGGCAGCCCTGCGCCCAAGGCCCAGCCAGAGCCCCACCATCTCTCCAGAGACATGGACGCCCTCCCAAGTGGCCTGAGGCGGGTCTCACCGAGCTGTCGGAAGAGCAGGGCCACGCTGCAGTTGCTGATGGGAAGGGAATCGTTGATGGGCGTCTGAATCACCTGCCTGTCGCCTGCGCCCAGAGAGATTGTCCTCTGGAAGAGACAAACACAATCCCCACGGCCGGCGGTCAGTCAGGGACGGCCCAGCAGAAGACCTGGGCTCCAGAAGGCAAACTGGCAGGAAGCGCCCCCAAGACACCCGTCCCCCAAGGGGGGCACATGGGGAGGGGAGCTGCCTGCCCCCAGGGCCAACTGCAGGCCCGCTGCCAGGAAGGGGCTCTCAAAGCCTGGGCTGAAGAGCACTTGCACCAAGGAGACAGTGAGAAAGAGAGACGGACAAAGAGACACAGAGAAGAGGACAGGCAGATGGTGGCACATATGTCCAGGCACTGCAGAAGGACCTTGTCAGCCTACATATGAAGCAGGTGCTGGGCTGTGGACTCAGCATTCAAGGCTGGCCTATGAAGCCTTTGCCCCCCCCCCAAGGCAGGACCCTTGCTCTTCTTGCTCCCCTCTTTCTCTGTTCTCTCTCAGTCCCTGCCCCCTCCCCGTAGGCCCCCACACCAAGGGCCACAGAGAGCTGTGCGCTGATCTTTCCGGAGAGGGACACACTGAGCAGCACCACCTCAGCCCCCAAATGCCTCCTCCTCCTCCTCCTCCCACAGAAGGAGGCAGCCCCGAGGAGAGAAAAGTTGTGCATACCGCTCCTTCGTCCTCCGTGTCAGGCTGAGATAGAGACAGACAGAAACAGCACAGAAAATTAGAAACACGGTGCAGCAGACGGACAGGCGGGCAGCGGGCGGGCAGACAGGCAGACAGCCACACGAGAGGGAGAGGCAGCACGCCAAGCGGGACACAGCAAGCCAAGAGCACAAGGGGGCGCCCCACAAGAGAGCCAGGAGAGGCACGGGCTGCCCAGCCAGCTTGGAGCAGGATCCACAAAGCCAGAACCATCCTCCCAGCATGCTGCCAGCTGTGCAAGCTCTCCCTGCCCACAGGGCGCCTGGCAAGCTGGGATCAGAAGAGGTCTCAGCCCCCTTGCCAGGGAGAGGGCGGAGGGGCCTGGGAAGAGCTCACCCAGCCAGCCCCATGAAGCGGCTTGAAAGGCACTGCCTCTCTCCAGCCGGGTCTCTTTCGCCTGATCACTCCCTGCCAGGCACGAGAAGCAAGCGAGGGAGCTCTACCTAACCTCCCCTTGGAGCTCAGCGGTCGGCTGCTTGGGACCCCTGGCCACATCAGCCCACGGAGCTGGAGGGGCCTGGGGTCGGGCTGCATCTTGCCTAGAGGAAATGCCAGGGGGCATCAGGAACCCACCTGGGCACCTCCTGTGATGGGGATGGTGCAGGTCAGGAGGCTCCCGATGACAGTCTCCAGGGAGGCGTTCAGCCCGTCCACAAAGATGGTGTAAACCAGCCCCAGGCAGTTCTGCAGGTGAAACAGGGTAAGTTGGCATTCTGGTGGGTCATTGGCCAGGGACAAAAGCAAGAAGACCCGCTCAAAATGGGGAGCCCCCCCCTCCCAGGAGAGCTTCAGCCCCGAGCCAGAAGAAGGGGCCAGGAGGCAGCCTCACCTTCTGTGCCGTTTAGGAGCAGAGCTATAAAGAGAGCAAAGAAATGGCGGCTCCACATGGAAGGACTCCGCATGGCTGGCCCTTCCCATCAGTTGCCCCTGGCGGGCAGCGCCCGGGAGGCCATGGGCCGGCCACTCAGGGAGCAGAGGAGCAGAGGGCTTGGCCCATGGTGGAGTCCCCCAGGCAGAGGCTTCTCTGGCCTCCAATGCCTCCCCCCCCCCAACCTTACCCGGAAGACTTCTGCGTGGTCCAAGCGGGAGACGAGCACCAAACTCTTTGGGGCGAAGAGCTGGGCTGGCTGGATGAGGGCGGCCACCTCCCCCTCCTCCTCCTCGTTCCTAAGGTGGTTCTGCAGCTGGCAGGAGAGAAAGGGGTCAGGCAGTCCTGGCTGGCTGAGGGCAGCCGCCTGCACGAGGCTGGTGCCACTGCCCATCACGCTTTGTGGGGCTCGTCCTCGGAGGCAGGGAAGCCCTGCGAGTGCCGCCAAGACCCAGGGAAGCCCCCCTCTTACCTGGCTGCTCTCAACCGCCTCCCAGAAGGTGAAGCAGGCACAGTAATGCCGCTCCGAGTTGATGTCGGTCAGGACAGCAATGAAGAAGGTCGGGGGGTTTCTCTCACTGAAGAGCTGCCACCCGCTTGGCTGGCAAAACTGCAAGAGCAAAGGCAAGGAGGCAGCTGAGCAGGCCTCTCTTCCCAGCGCAGGGGGGGGGGGGGCTCAGGATGCCCCGTCCCTGCGGGAGCCCCAGACCCCTGGTCCCCAACCAAGCAGAGCCCCACGGCCGCCTCCTGGAGCCAAGAGGCAGAGGAGAAGCCTTTGTTCACCTTCAGAGGCAGGATGCAAACTCCGTGGCCCCTAGCCAGAGGTTCTCCATTTCCCGTACAGGCCTTGCAGAGGGCGGGGCAGGGGTGTCCCCTAAACACAGTACTTACTCACAAGGAAGCTCCCGAAGCAATTCTGAAAAAGGCTCTGAGGGGTTTGCCCACAGACAGGCAAGCCCAGATTCCCAGGAGGACTTGGGAGTGGTGGCTCCACCCCAGAAAGCTCTTTCTGTCTGCTGGCCTCCTGGGCGAGGCCAACGTCAGGCGTCCTCAGCTGGCTGTGACACCCGGCCCCACCCTCTGGGGCACACTGCAGGTGCAATAGGCACCAGCCCACACCTGCCCATCCCCTTCCAAGCCTGGCCCAAGATGGCAAACCCACCCCACCCACCGTGCTGCCTCCAGCAACCCCTCCCTCCTCCCTGTCTTCCCTCCATCAGGGCAGCAACAGTAATAAACAGTACCCAGCAGAGTATTGTGGAAGGCAAACCGTCCCAGGCCCCTCGGCACAGAGCGTTCAGGGCTGGAGATGCAGCCACAAAGGCTTCCTGAGTTCAGCCAAGCCGCAGAGAGTGTTTCCCGTGTCCCTCTTGCCAACGACCACAGCCAGCAGGGAGGGGCAACCAGAGAAAGGAAGGGCTTGAGGCGAACAGCCTTGGGATGGAAGACTGGCAAACGTGGAAGAGCACCGTAGGTTGTGTGGCCTACAAGCTGGCATCCGAGGAATAAGACTCAGGAAGAGCTGCCCTAATTCAGCAGCTGGAATAGAATCCTTATGATCTCAACTGCCACTAAAATGCAAACATTGTGGACACAAATACAGTGGTAGCTCGGGTTACAAACTTAATTCGTAACCCGAAACCGTCGCCTTGCCACCAGCATGTGATTTCTGTTCTCATCCTGGGGCAAAGTTCGCAACCCGAGGTACTACTTCCGGGTTAGCGGAGTTTGTAACCCGAAGTGTTTGTGACCCGAAGTGTTTGTAACCCGAGGTACCACTGTACAGAGAGCTGCTACATGTCACGGGTGGTGGAGAAAAGTGTGAAAGCCTTCTGTTTGTGTTTAAAGTACAGAAAATGTTGTTGGTAAGGAAGAGAAGGAATAATCCACAAAGAGGCCTAACCAAATCCCGCTGGCAAGACAATGGTGGTGACAAAGAGCTCCCTGCTCTGAAAGTGAAGTGATAATGCTGCTCTGAATGAGGTGATAATGGGTTTTTTGGTCTGTTATGGTTAGCACAAAGCCAAAAGGTGTGGAGAAAGCCTGCCTGTCTCCGCTTCTGTTCCCTCATATATGTGAATCAACTGGAGCAAGCAAAGATTTCAGCTTAAAGGAAGAGGGGAGCTTAATCTCCTTCTGATCTGTAACCTTTCCGCAACCACTCAGTCCTAACATCGCTTCCCATCTCCTTAATTTTCAAAACTTTATTTCAAAACTCAGTTCTAACATTTCAAACTATTAGCTTGAACTGCAAGAGACTAAATATAAAGATGCAGTAAGGGGCTGACGTCAACCATTTATGAAATGTCCCTCCGTTTTCTGCACCCTGGAGGAGGTGGCTTGAAATCTGCCAGCAAAAGTGGTGTCCCCAGGCAGGGATGGCCACCAGCTTGGACAGCTTTAAAGGAGGATTAGGAGGAGAGGGCTACCAATGGCTACTCGCCTCAATGGCTATGCTGTGCCCTCCAGTCAGAGGAAGAAATGCTTCTGAACACCAGTTGCTAGAAACTGCAGGGGAGGAGAGTGCTCTTGGGCTCAGGTCCAGGCCTACCTGCCGTCACAGGTGACACCAGGTGTGGGTCAGGAACTGATGTGGCTACAAAGGCTTAAGGTCTGCTGGAGCCCAGTGCACTCCCACTGCCAGTCACCCAATGGGCAGAGGGAACTGCAGTATGATTTGCATTGAAACTGTGGCTAAAACAGAGCTTTGCCCTTCCAGTTCAAGACAGAACACTTTCTGCTCCAGAAGCAAAGCAAGCCCCCTGCCCCAGCCCCAGCCCCCTTCCTCCAGGAGCACCAAGCAGTTTGCATTAAAAACAGGGGGAAGCTGTCTTCCAAGGTGGTTTCAAGCCACATGGCAATCATTTGATGTCATAATCATTTGATTGACAAGCAGGTGGGCTAGCCCATGGGGGTGAGGACAGATAAGACTTGGGCCTGCCACTCTTTGGTTTTGTGACACGATGATGAGAAGAACATTTCGCAAAGCTGGACCAATAAAGAGGCTCAGTGGGGGCTCAGGGCTGGTATTAGGCAGGAGGAGGAGGAGGAGGAAGAGGAGGAGGAGGAGGAGGAGGAGGAGGAGAAGGAGCGGGGCTTTCAAGAGCCTGGCCTAGCGACAGGCTTCGTCTGTACAGCTCCAAGGACGGACACTGATGGGCTTCAGCTCTCCTCATCTCCAGCCAGCATGGCCAGTGGTCAGGCACAAAGGAAGCTGCCTGCAGCCTAAGGTATTTCCACTCCTCCCTTATCCATTTCTAATCTTGATCCCTTTGGAGAACATTTAAAGAGGTGCAATGGTCAATTAAACCTTCAGGTAGGACTAGATATGTGAGAAGCAGAAACAACAGCTAGGTTATAAACTGAAAATGGTTGATGTAAGAAGATATGCAGCATAACTAGGAACAACTAGGAAACCATGGAGGGATGGGATGGGAAGTTTTGAGATAAGAGATACTGTACTTTTCCGTGTATAAGTCTAGGTTTTTTATTGAAATATTATGTTTAAATTTGGGGGTCGTCTTATACATAGGTCATGCCTATGGGGGACGTGTGATTGTTTGATGGCACGAGCCGGAGATGGTCTGGAGCGTGTTACTGGTGTCTGACGCAAGGGTTGGTGTTGACTGGATGTTGCTGCAGCAATTGGGCGGGCAATAGGCTGCTTCTGCCGGCGAGGGGACAGACGTTAGGAGGGGTCTGCAGCTGCCCTCAGCCCCCCTACTCACCAGTTCAATGCCCTGGGGGAAAGGGTTGTCCTCCCAGTCCTTCTCTGGAAAGCGCTGCAGGATCTGCCCCTGGCCATCTCCACTCCCTGCAAACGAGGAGGCAAACAAGAAGCTTCAGACATGAGCAGGACCAGAGCACGCAAGAAGCTGTTGAGTCCAAGAGGCGGCTCCTGCCCCAAGAGCCAGAGAGCACAGCAGACACAGCTCTGACCAAAAGGTTTTCCCTGGCCTCTCCCTTCTTCACTCCTGGTGCAACCACCCTCAACATGGAAGAAGACAAGGAAGGAGGAAGACAAGGCCCACACTCCTGCAGTGGAAATTCCACCACTGATGCTGCCTCCCCTTACTCTGAAGTAGGCAGACCATAAAAAGCCTGTAAACTCAGTCAGGAGTCTGGATCAGCAGAGGACAGCTCAGGAGCCCCCTCTGCCTGGGTGGGAGCCAGGCCCTGACCTCACCTGGCTCCCCCGAGTACGGCAAGGCTGGTGAGACAAGACCTCGGGCAGAGCTTCCCAAACTTTCCATGTTGGTGACACACTTTTTAGACATCATTTCATGACACAGCAATTCAGTTTTACTAGCAAACCAGAGGTTAAACTAACCCTTTTTCAGCCCCAGGAGGAGCGCCGGGAGCGTTCGCACAACACACCTACACACTGCAGCCGGCACACTAACGTGTCACACGACACACAGCTTGTAAAGCTCTGGCCTAGGGAAAACACTGCCACCCCCAAAGACAGATTCAATTGCTTGCCACACAGACTTCCTCCACAGAGGTGGAAAAAGGGACACCTGGGTAAAGTTCAAAAAACACAGGCAAATCACCATGAATACTGCATTTGTCTCTCTGGACTCAGCTTTACAGCTGCAAATAAAATGGTTTAAGTGTGTTGTAAAGTGCAATAAACAAATGTGACACTAGACAGTGACGGTGAGCTATGGCTAATTCAATATACTTTTCAAAACATTATTTAAAAAAGCATTTTCACAGTTTTTTATATGTGTGTACATTCCACCTCTGTCACCCTCAAACCTTTCTACTGCTCACTCCCGCTCTCTAGATTTCCATAATTTAGAAACGCCAGCTTCTTCATTATGTTATACAGTGGTACCTCGCAAGACGAATGCCTCGCAAGACAAAAAACCCGCAAGACGAAAGGGTTTTTGGTTTTTTGAGTTGCTTCGCAAGACGATTTTCCCTATGGGCTTGCTTTGCAAGACGTAAACGTCTTGCAAGTTTGTTTCCTTTTTCTTAACACCGTTAATACAGTTGCGACTTGACTTCGAGGAGCAACTCATAGCACACGGTGTGGTAGCCTTTTCTGAGGTTTTTGAAGACTTTGGTGATTTTTGAAGCTTTTCCAAAACTTTCCCAAAACCGTGCTTCGCAAGACGAAAAAAATCGCAAGACAACAAAACTCGCGGAATGAATTCATTTCGTCTTGTGAGGCACCACTGTACTAGAACGCCTTGAGAACACTACAGACATGTGTTGTAAAAACTACACCAGCCTCCTGAATACCCAAATCCATTTCCCATTTCTGTCCCCTTTCGGATCCTGCCTTTCCTGGTTCTCAGGCTGTTGCCACCCAGGCAACCTTTAAAGAAACAGTTAGTTGTCTTCATGCTCAACAGTGCCAGTTCCTTGGAATATGATCCCTCTTTAATTAGCTGCTTTCGCTCTCAAACTGGCCCTTTGATATTCAAATTCTGGCCTTGCTTTCCATGCTTCAGCCCTCCCAACAGCTCATCACTAACCCGCACCAACTGGGACATCTCTGGCAGAAGGCAGTGCAGGGGGAGGAGCACGGCTGGAGGGTCTTGCACAAGTCACAACTCCGAGGAAGCACTTGTGATACGGCACATCCCACCAGCTGTGGCACTCAAGGCCCAGATTTTGTCAGGGAAACTTGCCCCTCTAATTACACACCAGGCTCGGGGACAGGAAGCTGCACAGCAGCAAATCCAGCTGCGTTCTCAAATATCCACTGAAGATAACTTCAGTTGTTGCTTGGGTTTGGGATGCCAAGGCCAAGGGCTGCCTGATGCCAAGGCCAGCAACAGATGGGCAGCTGGGCTTGGGACCTGCAGGGTGTCTCCCTCTGCAGGACTATTTTGGGCCCTCCTCTTCCCACCAGCCGCCCACAGCTCTATTTCAAGGACTAAGCAAGCCAAGAGATGCTACTTATAGGCTCTCCTGGTCCAAAGGGGAAAGACACCGCAAGCAGGAATAAACAGAGACCTCTGCCACCACTGGCTGGCGAGGACTCACAGCCTGGAGGCTCCCGGTCCCCAGTGTGGTCCTGTGTTCCTGCTGGGCAGAGTCAGGCCTGCCAACCATGGCCAGCAATGCCTACTTGAAGAAAAGGCTGCATTAAACTGTGCTCAGAGTGCGTTGTGCTCAAATTCCAGAAGAGGCAGCCCAGATCTGTGGCAGCAAACATACCAGGTTGTTTGTTTGTTTTGTTTTGTTTTGCTTTGCTTTATTAAATTTCTATACCGCCCTTCATCACAGGGCAGTGACACAAAAATACATGCCCTAGCAACAAACACAAACAATGCCCTCCCCCCCAGTTTGAGGTATTAGGGACCTGAGCCGCCTAAGGCTTTATAGGTCAAAAACAGCACTAATTGGCAGCCAGTGCAGCCAGGCCAGGGTCCATGTCAAAGGCTCAAACCATCTTGTCCCAGTGAGCAACCTGGTCACCAAATTCTGCACCAGCTGAAGTTTCCAAACTGTATTCAGACACAGCGACATGTATAACACGTTGCATTAATCTGGCCTAAAGGTTACCAGAGCGTAGACAAAAGTCCAGCTAACCCTGTCCAGATAGGGGTGCAGCTGGTCCACCAGCCAAAGGGAACAGAAGGATCCCCAAGCAACATAGCCGCTCCTTCAGAGGGAGCGTAACCCCATCAAGAGCAGGCAACCTCCCATCCAACTGGTCCAGGGAACCATCTACTAGCAGTGCCTCCATCGGATGTGGACTGAGCTGCCGTTCGGTGGCTCTCATCCAGTCCATTCCCAAGGCAAGACAATGGTCCAGCACTTCCACTGCCACGTCGGCAGTTGTAAAGGAGAAGCCAAGCTATGTTTACTGCTGACAACATACTCTAAAACTCCAGGTGACCCCACTCAGCGGTTTCATGTAGATGTTAAGCAGCACAGGAGCTAAAATCGAATCATGGGGAACCCCCCATTGAAGGCTCCATGGGGCTAAAGAACATTCCCCAAGCAAGACCTTCAAGTAGGACTGGAACCACCATAAAGCAGTGCCACCCACCCCTAACTCGGACAACTGCTCCAGAAGGAGATCATGATCAATGGACTCAAAAGCCACCGAGAGACACATTCCCCCCATCTCTCTCCCAGCAGAGCTCATCACACAGGGTCAGCCAAGCAGCTTCTGTGCCAAAACCCCAACTGAAAAGGATCTGCAACCACCTGCTCAAGAACTTGCCCAAGAAGGGGAGATTAGCAACTGGCAGGTAAATACTTTGATTTTCCAAATCCAGGGAGGGATTCTTGAGAAGTGGTTTCACCACTGCCTTCTTCAAGCAAGCAGGGACCACCCCCTCTCACAAGGAGGCATCAATGACCTCCCCAGCCCAACCAGCTGCCCCCTCCCTGCTAGTTTATATTGCCAAGAGGGGCAAGGGGTCGCCCTGACTGATCCAAGCAGCTAAGGAGACCCACGGAAATTGATGCTAGTAACAGAAACCGAATTTCAATAGGTTTACTATAAAAAGAACTAGCACGCAATACATCCTACAGTGCCTTAAAGACCAGCTTGGTGCAGAAAGAGCCGACTTTCATTAGGCAGCTGGCATTCTTCATGAACAATGATGTCACAACAAGCTGACTGGAAAGCCAGTAAAATGTCAAATGTGGCTCAGCTAAGGCAAGTGTAAAGTGATGTACACTGGAGCAAAATAATGCCAACCTCACATATTCTGATGGAGGCTGAGCTGACAAAATAAAACATGGGGGTTTTGGTGGATAACTCAATGAATGGGATAGGAAGGTCTTTTTCTAGCTCTCATCATATGAGAACCCAGCGGGGCCACCCAATGAACGTGGCGAGATGCAGGGCAAGGAAAAAGGAAGGATTTCTTTACAGGCCTCAACTATGGACTTGGTTGCCACAAGATGCAGCAATGACCACCAACTTGGATGGCTTTCCAAGGGGTGAACCAATTCATGTGTCTGGATCAGGCCACCAAAGGCTTCCAATCGTGATGGCTCTGCATTTCTTCCAGCACCAGTGGCAGGAAGGAGGCCTCTGAACCCAGTCGCTGGGGGCTGTGAGCAGAAAAGCGCGCTGTTTGCCCTCCGGTCCTGCTTGGGGCTTCCAGGGTCTTGGCCACTGTGAGAACTGGAGGTTGGGCTGGGTGGGCCTTTGGTTTGAGCCATCAGCCAGGCTTTGCCCCTGCAGCAGAAAGGCCGAGGCACCAAGGGGGCCTTGGAGGCTCAATGGATGTGTTGCCAGGAGCAACTGGCCTGGCCGACCCCAACCTGGCCCATGGAGGAGTGGGCCAGATCCAGTTCTCAGCCACTTGGCACACAGCACAGTTGTTGTTCTTCTTCATCTCCCATAGGCAGGCTATTATTTTGAAGGTCCGTTCCATCGCTCAGCAAGGAGGGAACAGGGTGCGCATTGTCTCCGCTGCTGACACTGGTTGCGCTGGTTAGGAGGGGCCCTGAAATGCTCTTACTGCCAGCCCATTAGGCCTCAGATGTGCATTTGCATACTGGGATGTAGGGCTGGGCAGGGAAAGAGAGGAATTGTGCCTGAGGTTTCACTGGAGGCACCTCCTCCAGAAGCCCAGCGAGAGGAAACAACACACTCTCGCCCGCCAGCCTCTTTGGGGAAGCCCTCCCTCCGCAGGGCCAGGATGTGGACTGTCCCGCATAGCTGTCTGTTGTGCTTAAAGGAAATTTATTGGGAAGGATAATAGCAATAAAATATTACTATCATTATGACTATTATTAATTACAGTAGAACCTCTACTTACAACCGCCTCCACTCGCAGATATTCCAAGTTGTGACCATGGCAAACCCAGAAGTAACCGACAGGTTTGCCG